AACAGGTGTAAACATTCAGTAGATTTACATTTCCTATGGACAGTAGTACAAGATTACCTTGGTATGGTACTTCCAACAGGTGTAAACATTCAGTGATTTGCATTTCCTATGGACAGTAGTACGAGATTACCTAGGTATGGGACTTCCAACAGGAGTAAACATTCAGTAGATTTGCATTTCCTATGGACAGTAGTACAAGATTACCTAGGTATGGTACTATAACAGGTGTAAACTTTCAGTGATTTACATTTCCTATGGACAGTAGTACAAGATTACCGAGGTATGGTACTATAACAGGTGTAAACATTCAGTAGATTTACATTTCCTATGGACAGTAGTACAAGATTACTTAGGTATGGTACTTTCTGCATTTCCTATGGACTGTAGTACAAGATTACCTAGGTATGGTACTATAACAGGTGTAAACTTTCAGTGATTTACATTTCCTATGGACAGTAGTACAAGATTACTTAGGTATGGTACTTCCAACAGGTGTAAACATTCAGTGATTTGCATTTCCTATGGACAGTAGTACGAGATTACCAAGGTATGGTACTCCCAACAGGTGTAAACATTCAGTGATTTACATTTCCTATGCACAGTAGTACGAGATTACCTAGGTATGGTACTATAACAGGTGTAAACTTTCAGTGATTTACATTTCCTATGGACAGTAGTACAAGATTACCGAGGTATGGTACTATAACAGGTGTAAACATTCAGTAGATTTACATTTCCTATGGACAGTATGACAAGATTACCTTGGTATGGTACTTCCAACAGGTGTAAACATTCAGTGATTTACATTTCCTATGGACAGTTGTACGAGATTACCAAGGTATGGTACTCCCAACAGGTGTAAACATTCAGTAGATTTGCATTTCCTATGGACAGTAGTACGAGATTACCGAGGTATGGTACTTTCTGCATTTCCTATGGACAGTTGTACGAGATTACCAAGGTATGGTACTCCCAACAGGTATAAACATTCAGTGATTTACATTTCCTATGGACAGTAGTACGAGATTACCTAGGTATGGTACTTTCTGCATTTCCTATGGACAGTAGTACGAGATTACCAAGGTATGGTACTCCCAACAGGTGTAAACATTCAGGGATTTACATTTCCTATGGACAGTAGTACAAGATTACCTAGGTATGGTACTTCCAACAGGTGTAAACATTCAGTGATTTGCATTTCCTATGGACAGTAGTACGAGATCACCTAGGTATGGTACTTTCTGCGGTTCCTATGGACAGTAGTACGAGGTGATTTACATTTCCTATGGACAGTAGTACGAGATCACCTAGGTATGGTACTTTCTGCATTTCCTATGGTTTCCTATGGACAGTAGTACGAGATTACCGAGGTATGGTACTTCCAACAGGTGTAAACATTCAGTGATTTACATTTCCTATGGACATTATACTTAATACGAACTATTAAAATGTTTATAGGTACTGTGTCGCTAGCCTTCGCTCCTTTTTCATATCAGAGCGATAAAACAGACATATCTTATTTTTCTTACATAGCAAAAGTTATAAACTTTCCGTCAATACCACACTCGGGGTGAAACATGTCAAAGATATAAAATAAAAAAAGGAATTGAATTTTGTTTTCTTACGTGCCATACAGAATTCCATGTTTATATAATGTCATGCATGCCTTAATGGGCCCCTTTAAAATGATGTTATTTATTGTCAAATTTTGGCATGCTTCATTTGCTATTAATTATGGTCACTTATTTGTAAGTGAATTATAAATTAAAGTTGTTTAGCATACCAAGTATCGTAAAAGATCTTAATCAATTTAGAAAAAGGATGTACGTATATTGTGTAAACATTATCTCTGACCCTGTCAAACATGTAGTATTGCGTAAATATTGCCTCTGACCCCGTAGAACACATGTTGCCATTTGTCGGATTCTGCTTTTATGAATTCACATATGCATGATTATAACGTAAACATGGCTTCAAATCTACGCCTGGTGAGATAAGTAGCAGTGTGGAAAAGGCTTCGCATGCGTAGACTTGACATAAATTTTAAGTCATTGGAATTTTAAATCTTTTCATATATCAATATACTTCTAATATTTGTGAGATTTTATGATTTTAATTTTCCCTGTAGTTTTTTTGACAGATTGCATCTTAGTAACTTTCACAAGAAAATTTGTAATAATTTAAAGTAGATATGGAAACTATCTCACCATTATAGCTAAAATTACTAACTTGACACGCTTGGCGATGATCTGAAATAACGCGATAGACAACAATAGGAGGATGCGATGGGAACAATTAAACCTGATGTCACAATCGGCTTTCCATGGGAGAGCATGTTCAGATTAAGAAAGAAGATATCTTTCAAAATCAAATGCTCAAGAATTACCAGACTGAGTATATTTGAACATATATCATTAAAAGACTAAAGGATTCATTCATTACTTTGAGGGTATTTGCCCTAGAAATCTCAAGCCTCAGGATATTTACTCATTCACCCCTGAAATTTCATAATGAACTATTCTAACCTTTGAATTGGAAGAGTTCAAATGTGTCTTCCAATTCAATGGCTGGAATGGTTCCTTATGAATTTTCAGGCCTGAGCGCGTTAAGGGAAAAGGTATTGGACGTTAAACAATAACATTACCACTATAACCATTCTCAATGTGAACAATTATATTTGTTCATGTATGTTTAACTTTATTTTCTTTTCTTCCACCCATTACAGCTCATCAGGGTCGTGTACACGGGGTGAAGTTTTCAGTGAACTGTGAGTGGGTTTTGAGTTGCGGCCGTGATAAATACTTTCAGTGGCACTGCTCGGAGACGGGGAGAAGATTGGGTGGCTACCTAACGAACGCCTGGTGTCTTTGTCTGGAGTATCCTTTCTTGTGACCAATTTGGCAGGAAAAAAAGTTGTTTATTATAAAATCATAAATTGGATCAAAGTTGTTCGTTTTTTAGATATGGACGTATAGTAATTTGATTTTGTTTTCTAGCAAGCCTTGGCAGAGACCTTCAAGGCATTTGCAGGTTTGTTCTCTGAAATATTTCATTTAAAAAATTGACAATCCAGTTGGTCCGCATATGAGGGGGTCGATAATGACTTAAGGTCATAGGAGTGTATTGATGAACGGAAATAGGAAGTACATCCCTAGTTGAAAATCCAATGTAGGGAGACAGTATCACAATTTCCGCATATTCTAATGTTTAATATTAAACTGATGAATATTGTATGTTTATTATTGACAGAACAGTGTGTCCTCTCAATATTAAAGTATTTCAAAGCAATCCAGGCATTAATTCAGGTGTTTTTTTTATCAAAGAGTCAAATGTGTCCATTTTTCTGTACTTCAGGAAACCAGCTACCTATTTCACTACTGTGAAGTTTTTCAAGAAAGATAACTCTTTACATGCAATTACTATGTGTACATGGTTTTATAATAAAATGTCAATTTTTAATCTTTTATAGATAATTAATTTTACAAAATTTCAGCATTTATTAAATTGATATACATTAATGCAATACTAATCTATGTCCGTATCATTTTTATTGATATTATTTTGCCAAAAATTGTTTCTTTCATTTATTTTTCAAAATTCACTCCTTTTTACATAAATTTACATTTAAAATCCTTAAAATTCTGACAACCTATATTTCTTTTGTGGCAGAAAATTTTCTTTACTTCAAAGCAATATAACTACAAAATTTTAAGAAATTCTACTGAGAAATGTTGACACAATCCTATTACCTTAAAGGGGCATCACGGTGAAGTAACTTTATTTTTTGTCTTTTTTTCAAATACGACATAAACATATCAAGTGAGACTCCTTATGGAAAATAACGATCGGATTTGGCTGAAATAGATTCATAAAAATGTCAGCTACGAAACGAAAAGTTGCCAAATGGTCAAAAGATAGCGCAAGGAGTACGTTACGGAATCATTATTGCAGGTGGGCAGTATTCAAAGGAGAAAATTAACTGCCGTAGCAGTTAGTACGGTGCATGTATTCTTCCGGATAGCCGGTTAAGCTGAAATAGAATCAACATATATATAAAAAAAATCAGAAAGGTTTGTCCCTTGGTGTAGGGAAGGTGTTTAGCCCTGTACCATCTGTACCGGCCACATTCCGGTACTAAATTCAATATATATTTAAATATATCTATGTTATGTTTATGCCTATTATCATTGTTGACATTTAATTGTAAATGTATGACGGGAGAAGACTGTGATAAATTGTAAAAACTTGTGCCCCATCCCTTGTTTAATTTTATTGGCAACAAATTTATGTTTAAAGCTAAATAAATTTAAATTCTGAATATTGGCAAGTGTGCAATTAACTTCTAATGATGAATAATTACTGTTCAATAAGTTTGAATACGACTTAGAAATCATATAACTTGGTTTCATAGTGCGGTAAGAAGTTGTAGTTGCCTGGCGGCCCCTCTGTGGGGGCCCCTTTGGAAACTGTTTCATCTCGCTTGCACCACTTGTGTTTACTGCCTTGTCAGGTTACGTTATCGGCGCTATTTTTAGCAGGGCTTTCCCGAACAATTCAAGTGGTCAAACAGGACATTTGAAACGGACTATGAATATGGGGATAGCGAGGTAACATAAGTGGAAGTGCATACAATACATACATTCATTAAAAAAACGCCTTTTCACGTGATGTCCCTTTAAAGATTTTGCCCTTCGGCATTTAAACATTATCTCTATTTTAGGGGGACAAAAGGGATGATGGAAATTTAGTATGATAGGCTGATTATGTTGGGAAATTCCACGTAGGCACGGTAGAAACAGGAGATCACTGTTTTGATTTGTCGAAACTGGAATGGGAGACCACCTCCATGGCATATCAGGAGATATCATATATACTCGTATACAAATACTGCAGTTTGTCAGTAGTTCTGTTGTCTATAGTAAATTGTCACGCTGTGTCAGTATCTCAAGGGTAGGCACATGACCATACCCTGTCTTTGTATATATATTTCTGTATAAAATGTATCAATGTGTCAATATTTCTATGATATGATCCTTAACCTGCTAAAGATTTGATGAACAATCAAAGTATGCGTTTGTTGGCGATTACTCTGGTCAGATTTCGGTATTAAAGATTAGCAACACCAATTTTGAACTGATAGTTAGTCTGAAAGGACATTCTGGTAAGTTTTCATCTGCAAAGGAGTACATGTACTAATTAACCGGTCAATTTTAGCCGAAAGTGATATACCTTTTTAGTCAGACATGTTGGTTTTCTGTTCAGTAGTGAGTGAAGAAATAGTTTAGATTATTGATGAAATTTGACAATGGAATAAAAAAAAGTATGGCTATTAAGGAAACCTGACCAATATATTAGGTCCCACAGGGTGTTGGATAAGACAAGGTTAATCTGACCAATATGTCGTGTCCCACAGGGTGTTGGATAAGACAAGGTTAATCGGACCAATATGTCATGTCCCACAGGGTGTTGGATAAGACAAGGTTAATCTGACCAATATGTCGTGTCCCACAGGGTGTTGGATAAGACAAGGTTAATCTGACCAATATGTCGTGTCCCACAGGGTGTTGGATAAGACAAGGTTAATCTGACCAATATGTCGTGTCCCACAGGGTGTTGGATAAGACAAGGTTAATCTGACCAATATGTCGTGTCCCACAGGGTGTTGGATAAGACAAGGTTAATCTGACCAATATGTCGTGTCCCACAGGGTGTTGGATAAGACAAGGTTAATCTGACCAATATGTCGTGTCCCACAGGGTGTTGGATAAGACAAGGTTAATCTGACCAATATGTCGTGTCCCACAGGGTGTTGGATAAGACAAGGTTAATCTGACCAATATGTCGTGTCCCACAGGGTGTTGGATAAGACAAGGTTAATCTGACCAATATGTCGTGTCCCACAGGGTGTTGGATAAGACAAGGTTAATCTGACCAATATGTCGTGTCCCACAGGGTGTTGGATAAGACAAGGTTAATCTGACCAATATGTCGTGTCCCACAGGGTGTTGGATAAGACAAGGTTAATCTGACCAATATGTCGTGTCCCACAGGGTGTTGGATAAGACAAGGTTAATCTGACCAATATGTCGTGTCCCACAGGGTGTTGGATAAGACAAGGTTAATCTGACCAATATGTCGTGTCCCACAGGGTGTTGGATAAGACAAGGTTAATCTGACCAATATGTCGTGTCCCACAGGGTGTTGGATAAGACAAGGTTAATCTGACCAATATGTCGTGTCCCACAGGGTGTTGGATAAGACAAGGTTAATCTGACCAATATGTCGTGTCCCACAGGGTGTTGGATAAGACAAGGTTAATCTGACCAATATGTCGTGTCCCACAGGGTGTTGGATAAGACAAGGTTAATCTGACCAATATGTCGTGTCCCACAGGGTGTTGGATAAGACAAGGTTAATCTGACCAATATGTCGTGTCCCACAGGGTGTTGGATAAGACAAGGTTAATCTGACCAATATGTCGTGTCCCACAGGGTGTTGGATAAGACAAGGTTAATCTGACCAATATGTCGTGTCCCACAGGGTGTTGGATAAGACAAGGTTAATCTGACCAATATGTCGTGTCCCACAGGGTGTTGGATAAGACAAGGTTAATCTGACCAATATGTTGTGTCCCACAGGGTGTTGGATAAGACAAGGTTAATCTGACCAATATGTTAGGTCCCACAGGGTGTTGGATAAGACAAGGTTAATCTGACCAATATGTTAGGTCCCACAGGGTGTTGGATAAGACAAGGTTAATCTGACCAATATGTTAGGTCCCACAGGGTGTTGGATAAGACAAGGTTAATCTGACCAATATGTTAGGTCCCACAGGGTGTTGGATAAGACAAGGTTAATCTGACCAATATGTTAGGTCCCACAGGGTGTTGGATAAGACAAGGTTAATCTGACCAATATGTTGTGTCCCACAGGGTGTTGGATAAGACAAGGTTAATCTGACCAATATGTTGTGTCCCACAGCAGGGTGTCAGATTTAACAAGTTTCCTTGTTACAGAATTCGATAGTTCATGATAACATACGGAATACTTAATCATTTGTTACAGTTCAAACAATAAATAATGAATGTTTTCCTTGAAATTTTTAAGTTATGATCTCATTAATTCTATGCTGTATTGGTTTATAACGATGTAACTTACTTTTACAGGAAGTGTGCGATCGCTGGCTTGGGATGCAAACAGGAGCTTGTTATTCTCAGGCAGTTTTGACCAGTCAGTGATAGTGTGGGATATAGGTGGGCGACAGGGCACTGCCTTTGAGCTTCAAGGTCACCAGTAAGTTTAACCCAAAACAGTGTTTCTCTGGGTTTGTTAATGAAGTCTACATGTATATTATCATATCTGTGATGGATGCATAGATACTGTGAAATCAGATATTTTCGTAGGGTCCCCACACAATTGTGGTTTTTGGTCAAAACCACAATTTTTTGGGTACCTGAATTCGTGGATTACAAGTACCCATTCAAAACAAGGAATAGCTTTATGTCAAACCTGTAATCACCTTGTGGACCTATATAGAGTGCCAACAAAATTGAAAACCCCACGAAAATTAGTGATTTCACAGTATACAAAATGTTGTGTTACCTGTAATGAATAGACAAAATGTAATCTTACTGGAATTTAATTAATTGCGTTACCTGTAATGTAATTGGCAACACATTTACACGCTATTGTTAAATTTGTCATCAATGCTGTTTTCCTTGTGGTAAATTCTTGAATGAATGCATAGAATTTTATATTTTGTTCGACAACCTGAAGTATCAATTACCCATTCAAGTTTGATTTCTGACATAGGTTTGAAAAGCAATATGGCTGCTAGTAGCCATTACCTATAACTTATTAGCTTACTTTTAAATTTTACCTGGATCTGGAATGGTTGGATTTTGACAAATTAATTGTCTCCCATTCAATATCTCTTCAAGAAATAATAATTTAGAAATAATACTAATATTAATTACCCACTCAATTTTGATTTAAAGTCATATCAAATTCAATAGGGCTTTCTGTGGACTTCCTGAATTTTAGCACCCGAAGTGGTTGCTGTGAGGTAACTGTAAAGGCTTAGGAATATTTAAATTTTATGTTTTATTTTTCGTAAAATAGTTAACAATTCCCCTCTCAGGTTTGATTTTGTGTTAGATCTCAAATTCAAAATGGTTGACAGCTGTACCTGTACTTGTAGTTGTTTTAAGAAACGTTAATACTTAAAACGATGATTAAACAGCAATTTCATGGTTATCTACATGTGTAGAAAGTATTGAAGCAGACGACTGATTGTCAAATTGTAAAAGTCGTGAAATAGTAAAAATCGTGAAAATGTATGACAAATCGTAAAAATCGTGAAAATGTATGACAGATCGTAAAAATCGTGAAAATGTATGACAGATCGTAAAAATCGTGAAATCGTAAATGTCCTTTTGATGACTTGCTAAGAAATGTTTATTTCCTTGCAGTGACAAAGTGGCAGCATTAGCCTATGCTCCAGGTTGTAAACAGTTGATATCTGGCGGGGACGATACAGTTATAGGGCTTTGGAATATGGACGTCAAACGAATAGAGGTAAGTATATATAGCAGGCTGGGATTATATCTTTGTTGACTTCACTTGTCAAATGCCAAATGAGTTTATACCAAGAGGCGCGGGGCCTCGATGGCCAAGTGAATTTATACCAATAGGCGGAGGCCTCGGTGGCCAAGTGATTTTATACCAAGAGGCGGGGGCCTCGGTGGCCAAGTGAGTTTATACCAAGAGGCGGGGGCCTCGGTGGCCAAGTGAGTTTATACCAAGAGGCGGGGCCCTCGGTGGCCAAGTGAGTTTATACCAAGAGGCGGGGCCTTGGTGGCCAAGTGAGTTTATACCAAGAGGCGGGGGCCCTGGGGGCCCAGTGAGTTTATACCAAGAGGCGGGGGCCCTGGGGGCCCAGTGAGTTTATACCAAGAGGCGGGGGGCTTGGTGGCCAAGTGGGTTTATACCAAGAGGCGGGGGGCTCGGTGGCCAAGGGAGGTTATACCAAGAGGAGGGGGCCTCGTTGGCCCAGTGAGTTTATACCAAGAGGCGGGGGGCTCGGGGGCCAAGTGAGTTTATACCAAGAGGCGGGTCCTCTTTGGCCAAGTGAGTTTATACCAAGAGGCGGGCGCCTCGGTGGCCAAGTGAGTTTATACCAAGAGGGGGGGCCTTGGCGGCCAAGTGAGTTTATACCAAGAGGCGGGTCCTCTTTGGCCAAGTGAGTTTATACCAAGAGGCGGGCGCCTCGGTGGCCAAGTGAGTTTATACCAAGGGGCGGGGCCCTCGGTGGCCAAGTGAGTTTATACCAAGGGGCGGGGCCCTCGGTGGCCAAGTGAGTTTATCCCAAGAGGCGGGGGCCTCGGTGGCCAAGTGAGTTTACCTCGGTGGCCAAGTCAGTTTATACCAAGAGGCGGGGCCTTGGTGCCCAAGTGAGTTTATACCAAGAGGCGGGGCCTCGGGGGCCAAGTGAGTTTATACCAAGAGGCGGGGGCCCTGGGGGCCCAGTGAGTTTATACCAAGAGGCGGGGGCCCTGGTGGCCCAGTGAGTTTATACCAAGAGGCGGGGGGCTCGGTGGCCAAGGGAGGTTATACCAAGAGGAGGGGGCCTCGTTGGCCCAGTGAGTTTATACCAAGAGGCGGGGGCCTTGGGGGCCAAGTGAGTTTATACCAAGAGGCGGGTCCTCTTTGGCCAAGTGAGTTTATACCAAGAGGCGGGCGCCTCGGTGGCCAAGTGAGTTTATACCAAGGGGCGGGGCCTCGGTGGCCAAGTGAGTTTATACCAAGAGGCAGGGGCCTCGGTGGCCAAGTGAGTTTATACAAAGAGGCGGGGGCCTTGGTGGCCAAGTGAGTTTATACCAAGAGGCGGGTCCTCTTTGGCCAAGTGAGTTTATACCAAGAGGCGGAGGCCTCGGTGGCCAAGTGAGTTTATACCAAGAGGGGGGGGCCTCGGTGGCCCAGTGAGTTTATACCAAGAGGCGGGGGCCTCGGTGGCCAAGTGAGTTTATACCAAGAGGTGGGGGCCTCGTTGGCCCAGTGAGTTTATACCAAGAGGCGGGGGCCTTGGTGGCCCAGTGAGTTTATACCAAGAGGCGGGGGCCTCGGTGGCCAAGGGAGGTTATACCAAGAGGCGGGGGCCACGGGGGCCAAGTGGTTAAAGAAATCTGACATTCTGCTACCACTAGTCCTCCATCATTGAGTCGCGGGTTCGAGACCTTCGTGGGGCAGTCACCAGGTACTGGCTGTAGGTCCGTGGTTTTCCTCGAGAACTCCTGCTTTCCTCTGCCACCAAAACCTGGCACGTCCTTAAATGACCATAGCTGTTTATAGGACGTAAAACACAAACAAACAAAACAAATTAGTGTCAAAAGTGCTTAATTTCATTTAAAGTAACTTATGCATACATTTGTACTGACCCACACTGCACAGTTCATATTTGTTTGAATAATTAATATCACTTTCAATGATGTGGCTCAAGGTGGTTAATGAGTGACATCACATCTCAATTTTCTTAACTCATTCAACCCTGAAGACACATTTGAACTCTTCCAATTCACTGATTGGAATATTTCATTATGAAATATCAGGGGTGAATGAGTTAATGTTATTGTGTATATATATTGTTATGAGAGAATACGGGTTAAGGGAGATAACTCGAATGTAAGAGTTATGTGTTAATTGATTGGTTATTTGATTTGGAACTCTTCTGCGAGGGAGGGGATGAAGTTGAGAAAAAATAAAGATGGAAAACAAAAGAACGTCTATTATCTGCGGTCAGGATAAAAAGCGAGATAATATAAACTCCGTAACAATGTACTCCACAACTATTCTTTTGTTTGCACACTAAATAGAAGTAGTCACCGACGACTTACAACTTACAAACTCAATGCAACGAAGTAATGTCCGCTTTGTGTACTCAATATATTTATTTCATTTCTTTCATTCTGTGTTTCTTGTGTTATCACTGATCAATGCATCCTTGTTTTCTGAAATACCAGACACCTACCTGGACTGAGAATGACAGCTGTGAAAAATGTAAAGCACCGTTTTTCTGGAACGTTAAAAAGATGTGGGAAGAGCGTACAATAGGAATCCGACAGGTATGGTAACCTACTTACCTCTGATAGGCCCATGGCCGCTTTAATTCTACAGTCCTTCTATGTTGTCTCGTTCATTGCAATTGTTACCTGGGGTTATTTTGGGTCAGTCAGAAAAATGATAGGGCGATGTAAGTTGAATTCAAGCAAACTGAACGGTTATTAGGTTTTTCTATACTAAATATTGTACACTGTAAAATTTCAGCTGTAGTTTAACTTTTTTTTGCGCTCCATAATGAAGGCCAGTTTATCACAACAGTAACATTAAATACACAACATACTGAAGGGCGAAAATTAATAAACCCCAAAAAACAGATTATATAGGTAAAAGATAGAAAATTTGACTCGGATGAATTTTTCAAGTTGTCAGTGGTTAAAAAAAGACTGCTCTTTGAATTAAAATGTGATGGGTCATTTTACGTGATGGGCCGTTTTTCATGATGGGCCTAGTACTGTAAGTGAAATGATAGCTAAAAAGATCAAACCTAGAAGGATGCTATTTTTGATAAAAACGGCTTCTGCCATTGTTTGAAATAAGATGTTGTTAATTTTTCAGCATCATTGTAGGAAGTGTGGAAAAGCAATATGTGCCAAATGCAGCAGTAAAAAATCCTCCTACCCCCCAATGGGATTTGAGTATGAGGTCCGAGTATGTGATAACTGCCACGAAAGTATTACGGATGAGGAGTGAGTATATGAACATGTAAATTTACTGATGTAGGTAGACATATTTGGCCGGATAGGAACGCAATCAGGGCTTATCGATTGGCGATTCCCATCCGTCCGTCCATATGTCTGTCTGTCTGCACTAAGGTTAAGAAGAATGGTTAAGCTCAGTTTCCAAGTTATTAAAGATCTCGAATCAACTAAACTTGCATGGCTTATGTATCTAAGAATGCTTATCACATGTGATGCTTCGGATGCTGCATCTGACCTACATTTTCCGCTTGACTGACCAGGTTAAGAAGATTGGTTTAGGTCACTTACCAAGTAACTACTTGTCCTACATCAACTAAACTTGCATAGCTTTTGTATCTTAAAGGATGCTTATCAACTGTGATGCTTTATATGAAAATGTACTGTAGCCATCTGGCCATATCTACATTGGTTGTTTCTTGTTTTGTGTTTAAATGGTTTCTTTATGAATATATTATGATTTGCCAACGAAAACACGGCAGTCTTCTTGAAAGACGCGTTGCTATCCACTGCACCACCTGGTCATCCTAAATTAATCTAAATAAGTAAAAACTTGTTTGAAATGTTTGTTGTACTGTGTAATTGATTTTCAGAAAGTGAACTAGATCTGAATGTTGATCAGGAAATAATAATGATGTTTTGGTATTTTAGGCGAGCTCCTTTAGCGACATTCCACGATAGTAAACATGGTATAGTATACATGCACCTTGAGGAACATCGCAAGCGTCTGCTCACAGTAGGCAAGGATAAGGTTGTCAAAGTGAGTTTTTAAACAATTATTTATTCCGAGCTGATATCTTCTTTTTAATGCCCCCGCCATAAAATTGGGGTGGGGGTGGTGGGGGGGGTGCATATAGTGTTACCCATGTCCGTCCCGTCCCGTCCCGATTCAATGTAAACACTTAGCAACTTTATTCTTTGACAGATTTTGGTCAAACTTTGTACAAAGGACAAGTATGATTATACTTCAGACTTCATTGTATTACAGGGATCCAAGGTCAAGGCCAAGGTCACACTTGCTACATATAGAAAATCATCCCTTCCCGTCCCATTCCGATTCAATGTAAACACTTATAGCAACTTCATTCTTTGACAGATTTTGAGCAACTTCATTCTTTGACAGATTTTGAGCAACTTCATTCTTTGACAGATTTTGGTCAAACTTTATACAAAGGTCAAGTATGATTATACTTTGGACATCGTTGTATTTCAGGGATTCAAGGTCAAGGCCAATGTCACACTTGCTATATATAGAAAATCATCAACTGATTCAATTTAAACACTTATCAACTTCATTCAATATGTTATGGAGATGGTAATAACATACAGAAAAAACATATGAATATTAAAATCAACTTAAAGTGTAGTACCTTGTGTGTGTGTATGTTTCAGGGTATCAAGTGGTTGTAACTTTTTATAGAACACTGACACTAATTTCACATGGCAGCAGAGACATTTATGTCTTACAGACCTTTTCCAATTAATCATTGTTATAGTTGGATAACAACTCATAGTTCTGCCAATCCCTGAAGACTACAAAGGCAGAAAGGCCAAGCGATCCATCTTGGATACTTAATATTTAACTAGTTTGATGTACAAAGCTATATAGATTTTTGGAGTGATGATTGTGACGTTTTTACAATTGTGACGTTGTAGTCTACTTTATGTAGTAAATTTATGAATTTCATAATATCAGTTTGTTGAAAATCTGCTGCAGATTTAACTATCAGTATGTTTTAAAATCTTTGAAAAAGTATAAAAATCAAACTGCATTTCGGGGTGAAAATCCTTAATTTTAAACAGGATTGCTAATATATTTAACATACAAACACTTTTCAATCTCTCTGTGGTCCTCTTTAGAATTATATGACCATAACGTAAAACAAGATGCAGTTTAAAACATGAATAGAACTCACAGTTTTGTCAATCTTGAAATGTTACATCCAGTTTAAATATGATATTATATTGTAACATTGTGTCATTATTCTACAGATATGGGATGTGAGCAGTGTCCTTCACTGAGGAAATACACACAACACTTTAGTTTATCACAATGTATCAGAGGTTATCGGCCATCACCATGGAAACCAGCATGCAGAGGACAAAATTCAAAGACTATTGATTGGCTGAATCCAAAGACATGTGATTGGCTGTTCAGAAATAGTGGGTTGGCTACAGTGAGCGTGGCATTCTTGATTTTTAATGGTGATTGGAATCCAGAGAGGTTTTGAGACTTGAAGTGATGGTACAAACACAAGTTAATGACTAAATCTTTGATATTAGGCCGTTCAGACAGAGTGGCAAATGTTATGTATATATTATTGTTAGATCATCTGCCTAAAGGGCAAGTAAGCTTGTCCCATGGCACGTCAACTGTCGTCTGTCTCTCAATTGATTTATTTGAAGAATGACAATGTTGAGCATTATTTGGCCAAGATCAGTTAAAATGGTGCAAAGGAAGGCTGTGCCCCCCTTGGGGTCGAGGGGTGTGATCCATTAGGAGAAATGGGGGGGGGGGGAATAATTAAAACCGTACCTTTTAGTATGAATAAAGTGACTTTTAGCCTATTTTGTATAAAGGAACCATTGTACAAGGAGGCTTAACTTTTTATAAATGCAAGATGTGATCCACCCCACTCTGACCCTATTCGAGACAGAAGGGCAGGAGCCAAAAGAGGAAATAGGGGTGAATATTCAATATCCTACTCATTCAGTACGAGTAAAGGGATTTTAGCCTTACTACCAATAAACGATCCCAGGGACAGAGAGGCAGGGCCCAATTGGCAAAATAGGAATAAATCTTCAAAAGCCTGCTTCTTCAATAGAGGCAAACAGATTTTAACCTTATTTGGAAGAAAGGATCCCTCGGGAACGAAGATTATGCATCAACTTAGTCTAATTATCCCCCTTTGAGCAGGACCCAATATGAAAAATATAGAAGAGTCCCTTCGGGGATAGTAGGTAATTAAGTCTTTAAAAGCTTCCTTTTAGTCTGAGTAAATGGATTTTAATCTCATATACAGGATTCTGGCCTCTTCTCAGTCTGTTTCTATTTTGCAATTTCTATATATGCATGTACCATATTTACTATACTAGGTAATGTAAGTAAAGTTTAGGTGAGCCATTCAGGCCCCTGGACCTCTTGTTAAAACTGGACGGTGTCCATATTTGTCAATGTTACATGTACCAGTAGTTTAAATGAGTGGCTGTGATTTAGTTTGACCAATGTGGCAGGTTTACATGAGTGAGAGACACAATGAGATTTGTTCACTAAACCATCAATGCATCATGTAGTTATAAATTCTATTTAAAGTTTTATTATCCAATGAAGACAACTCAATGCCATAAGTTTTCAAGGAATCTACATTGTATGGCTCTGTTTGGTTTTTTCCAAAATTAAATATTCTAAATGTCAGCAAATTGTACCATGTCAGAGAATTGTCTCTTCATTACTGACATTTCAAAAAATGTATCTTAGTGAAATGTGTTTGTAAATTTGTTCAATGTACAGTAACCACATTGTGTGTTTAAGATCCACTCTTCAGTGCAATCTCTTTGTATGTTAAGTTTCCGTTTAACAAAATAACTGGATTGTGTGGTAAGGTTCCACCTAACAATATAAGTATACAACTTATAAAATCCACTCGTTCCTTCTCTCTGATATTTGATTGAACTCCGTACACTTGTACACAGCTAGCACTGATGTTTGTTGAGAATTTCACAATGGTGCTTTTACCATGTTAGCTGTTATCTCCCTTTGTTGGTCGTACGTTCAAATTTTACCTCGAGTAAATCATTCTCCTGTTATGTTAATATATACAACCTTTTAACAAATTGATAATTTTACACCAGAACTTACTCTATCTCAAATTATATTTTTTGATTTGTGAAAAAAAAGAAAATTGCTATCTGTGGAAACAAAAAACTGTATTTGATATCAATGATGTATAGAAATGTACAAGAAAAATGTTGTGATAATAATGATATAAATGCTAATACATTGTATGATGATCCTCTTCCAATGAAGCTTTCTATAGAAGTGCTATCTGGGGTGGGGGGAGGGGGGGTTACATGTTCAGGCTGTAAGGTGAGGTACTACTGTGAACTCACTAATTTTCTTCGGTCTTTAATTTTGTTGATTTTTATTTTAGTGTGTAATCTTCATCCATGAACTTATAGGTCAGCGACGAAGTAAGTAAACTGTGGTAATTCTAATATTAAGCAATTCTCTGTTTGAGTAGGTACTCATTATCTACGATTTCATTTACCAACATTATGTTATGTTGTTTCGGAAACCACAAAATTTGGGCCCCACGAAAATAGCTGATTTCACAGTATAACTCCCCAGGCAACTCTATAATAATTCTTTACGTGAGGGAAATAATATATTGACATATATATATGACTCAATAAAACTTTGTAAATCTATTCTGATGACAAGAAGTCTTGTAATAGCGATTTCTGATATTGTCAGTTTAATGTTAGAAATTCACCAATTTAAACCATTCTTCCAGTTAGATATATATGATGCCTAACTTCTTGTTTTCTTCGTTTGTTTTGCCTGAACTCTCCCGATACAGTAATGTCAGAATTGTGTTGGAGGTTTAGTCTAGATACTTAATTTCTGCAAATTTCCCAAGGGGTGTAACTCTTGTTGTCTCGCTGATTTCCCTGTCTGTCATCGAGGGAAATATTCAGTAGTGGTAGAACACAGTACACTATAAATAGAACAAGGGTTGTTAATCTTTTTACAAGAAGCTATTATGTCATGACTATATATGTATATGTACATCTAAGAAGGAAGTTTTAGTAATGTAAGTTATGGAAAGTTAGATGATTTTAATCATTCATATTTAATCACTAAATTGGCATAAATATGTCTTCATCCACAAGAAGGAAGTTTTAGTGATGTGATTTATTGAAAGTTAATTGACATGAATCATTCATATTTAATCACAAAACTGGCATACATATGTATTCAGGCACAAGAAGAGAGTTTTAGTGATGTAATTAATTGAAAGTAAGTTGACCTGAAACATTCATACTTCATCACTAAATTGACATTAATGTGTATCCATGTGTAATGATTAAGACAAAGGTGAATCCTGTTGTAATTACAGACAAAAAAACAGATACTGGCATTAAGTGGTGCAGGATCAAGTGAGAGTTAGAGATCCTTTAATTATTTGAGATGTAAATCGTGTGATATATATTGTGATTTGTGTGTAACTTACTGCATGACACATGTGTTGCAGAGGATTTTTTTCTGTTGTTGTTGTGTTTCTGAACTAAAAATAAGTACCACTTCTAATGTAGAGCTCTGACTGTTAAACTGTTGCTGTCCAGGAATCGTAGATGAACAGCATCAAATTAAGAGTCCAATTTATAGGCCGCACTGTTTATAAAAATAAAAATGATCACTGAAAGATACATTACTTTACAGGAGAAGTTATTCTAAGCCAAACTATTCCTTTTGATTGCTTCATTTTTCAAATGTAAGGGAGATTACTCTAGGTAAAAAATGTTAAGTAGAACTCTTCTTCGCCAAAGTATCTGATAAAGTGGTATTCTTTACCTAAACTCTTCATCCCTGAATTTATAATCAACTTTTCCAACCTTTGAATTGGAAGAGTTCAAATGGGTCTTTAGGGGTGAATGAGTAAATGAAGAGGATGACTTTGAAGTGGTGTTTTTTTGCAGATAAGATAAAAGAGTACTGTAGAAGAACTTGTGACCTAGCTTGCTGTGTGATAATTTTTGAATGCATCTACATTGTGTATCAGGGTTTGAAGTGTGGAGGAGATGTTGATATGTAAGTGTGGTATTGGTGTCATTACCGAAGAAATTATTACAGTACTATATAATTATGTGAATGTCAATTGCTGTAAAATCAAACGGGATAAAAGTTTAATTTGTTTAATTGAAAACTTTAGCTGACCAACAAAATTAATGGAACGCGTTCACAGAGCCAGCTTACATAAGGACTTCTGTTAGCAGTCTCAAATTTGAGCGTATTATGAAATTTAACAGATTAGCACAATGATGAATTGGCACTCGCAGAATATGCAATAAAAAGCTATATAAAGAAACTTCTCTTAGCACAGTCTTAATAAAGCACAATCTTCAGAGAGCAGAGAGCGCCTAAATTGCAATACCACAAAAAATGTATATTTGCAGTGTTGTTCAAAATCTTAAAAGCAGGATCAATGCATAGGTGAATCTCTTGATGAAATCAGGTCTCGTTTGGAAGTGTATAACTATCAAACGTTGTATGAAAGTGCCAAAAGTTTGAGGAGAGAAATATTGGTGTGTTGTTAGCTTTGCTTAGTCATCATTGCCTTCATTTCTACGTTTTCTTGAACAGTAAATTCATGGACAAAAAAGTTTGGTTGAAGTTTTGACTTTTTTAAAGAGATTCATAATATATCAAACACCTTAATTTCAAAAAGTTAAAAGACTTACATGAGATGTGGTTTTGATGCTCAGCAGTAAAGCTTAAAATAAAATCAGCGCAAAGGGATAATTATACACGTTATATATACTTGTCATGGATAATAAATGAAGCCGATGGACAGATGATAAAGAAGTATTTAAATGTAATGCATAAATGAAATCTATTGAGGTTTGGTATATTGTAGATATTCGTATTGAATAAGAATATTGTATGTGCAGTTACCTAAACCAAGCTTGCTTGATACACAGATGTTTATTGTACATGTACTCAATCATGGTTTACAGACTCTTTAATCCATTATGGTCCATTTCAGTTATAGAAAATCCAAGGTTAAAGCTTGCTGCTTACGTTGTCTGCATCAATGGAATATATCACGAGGTAATCAAATTATCACTACGAGACACCTGGTGGATGAAACATATAGTCTAGTTTGATCCTTTGATGTTCACCAACAGAATCACGCTGCAGCCAAATGGTAAACTTGATAGTCATTGAAATCGGAGGTCACTTCCTTGTAATCTTCAAATGAGAATATCAGCCTTGTGATTGGTCAGTTTATATACCTGAAACCAATTAAATAGCTAACGTGTGCCTTCGATTTAATGTCATGAGATATTCCATGGGGTTCAGAGAACGTAAGGGAGTAGATTTGAGAATTAGAATATCTAAGTGTAAGATTAGCAAAACTGTGATTCAAAATAAGAATTGATGTAACTAGAATAAGATGTGAACAAGAAAGACCCTTCAAGAAGTATAAACTTTATGAGAATTTCGATGTGAACAGCTTCTCTGAATAGTCAAAATGACGATAGTTTAGGCAGCCACCATGATTTCGTAGTTGTCCTTCAGCACATAAATAAAGTCTGTACATACATATACCAGTTGATATAGAAATGTTTGATCATTATTTCAATTTGTTACAAAACCATGAATTTGTAAAAAAGAAAAATGAAATCGAAATTTGTTTGTACTACGGAATTGGATCTATCTACTTAGAAGATCCTTTTCCCCCAACAGTGATTTGATATTTCAAAATTAACTCAGTCACTCCTGAAATATCAGAATGGACTATTCCAACCTTTGAATTGGAAGAGTCCAAATGTGTCTTTAGGGGTAAATGAGTTGATAATGGTAGTATGTACATCACATATTGACGCCATTCACTTGTTCAGATTTAGAAATGAGGTTTCTTTGTTCTAGTCAGTGTCTGAAGCTGTAAGTATAAAACCTTCCCCCTGTATATTGACACTGAACTGGTGTAAACCTCGTTTTGGAAATCATTTTCTTCGTGGTTTGTTTTAGTTATGAGTTCATCATTTAAAATGACTAAGGATTGTATTGAATCGTTTATTGTCCAGTGTGTATAATGCCTTTATCTTGTAACAATGTGTGTTTTATCACGGATTAAGAATGTATTTAGTTAAGTAGCCGTGTCATTATGTGAATGTATACACACACTGTTGTGCGAACACCTTACAGGTTTAAGTATTGGTTACATTTGAACTCAGTTTCATTAGTCAAACTACGAGTGACTACGTGCTTTGGAATAGTTGTAAGTACAAACTTTCAAAACCAATATTATGTATTTATCTTAATTGATACAGAAAATATGAATTAATTGTGAAATTCATGTATAAATGTTTTGATGAAGATGAAGAAATTGTTCTTTGTCACTGTAGTTATCTCATTCGTCTGGTGATTTTCAACAGTTTCACAAGGCACTGTTAGCCACCTGTTTTTCGTAACTTCTGAAAGTTAGCCCATGAGTGTGAGATAAGTACGATAAAAGATCACTCAATCATTTAGTAACATTGGTATGAACACTTGTGGATGTCAAACACAAACTTTATTTATCAGCTTTTATTACTGTTAGCATGAAGGAATGTCTACCTAATTTGGTGTATGCTACAGCTGTTTTATATTACAAGCCTAATCTAATCCGATTCAAAATTGGGTGAAAACTGTACTCATATTAAATACAGGCATTTCCTTATGTTATAAAGATTCCAAATAATGATTCTTTGAAATATTTTCCACAAAATGTGTATGGCATCTGCAATATTTTTCGTTAAAAATGAAATTTTAAGTGTCCACTTTTAATTCTGATTCAATTTAAAAAAAGAACCCATATAATGTATCTATCAAATGTTGACATTCTTGATAGAAAAGCCTCCGTACTATAAGGAATCTAGTAGAGGAAACATTTGTGTGGCTTACCAAGAAGTTTCTTTCACAAAGTGAAAGGGGTAATGTTATGCGTGTTAAAATGGACCCCAAGCTGTGTATGGGCCAAATCATGTAGTCTATAATATATATTTATGAAAGTGATATTGTAACTTTGTTACATTAGTAGTAAGCTTTAAGCTGGCTTTTGTTTATCAGTTATATTCATTTGCATTGACTTCTGTTTGTGTGCTGTTACTAAATCTGTTTACGACAAGTTTAGTGTTTACCTTGGACTAAATAAAGATTCATCTAAATGGAGAAATGTTTTGTGGTCTATGATTCTGATTTTAATTTAGGTAGTGAACTGGAAAGACTTGATTTTTTGAATAGCCGGTCTTCTTCATAATCCACTTCAATTTGGGAGAGTAATTTGCTGACTTCAAGGCGTATTGACATAATCACAATTTTAAGCTTGGATTATATGAATTTTGGCAGTAAAAGGCATCATCTGACAATGAGGATGATGGCTTAGAAAGCCAGGTTTGCATTTAAAAATCAACATTTTGATAAACATGTACCTTAATATTAAAAAACAAATAAATCTTCAAGTCATCAAATATAGGCTCTTTTAGCCTGGTGTCCGGTCGTCTGTCTGTCATTCGTGCGGTCACCCTGTCTTTAAAGAAACATATTTTACCAGTATTTCTCAGAAACAAGGGGTCATGATGGAACTTGGTATGCAGTACCCCTTTGTTTAAGTTGCGCCTACTCCCAATTCGGCCGCTTCAATTGAAGGGTGATTTTGGAATTTGCATGTTATTATTATTATTATTAAGTCACGAGTTCGAGTCACAGCACGGCACTGTGTTGTATGTTTGAACAAGATACTTTTTCTCCGCTTGTTTCAGTCGACTCGGCTGTAAATTGGTACGTGTTTGGGCAGTGCTGGACTTGTTGAATGCTAGCTATGAGGGCCTAAATGGCAACACCGGCTGTATGCTTCCCTGGGAGTTGAGAAAGATATTGTCTGGTTTCAAAGGCCCTATAGCCACGGATAATAATTTGTGAACCGCTTTGAGACGACCTACGAACTAGGTTGTGATAAAGCGGTATATAAGAACATATTATTATTATCATTAATTATTACATGTTAAGCTTGTTTTCCCTATTTATCAGAAACCACTTGGATTTTTCCGCTTTGCATCAGGAACTACTGAATGAATCACGACAATATCTGTTATATATGATCTTTTTATTCCCTAGTTTGTGGTCACTTCAGTTTCAATGGAAACGGAAAATGAAATGCGACCAGGCCATCTTTGACTTGCATGGGTATTAGATGTACAAATTGTTACGGCTTTTTCTTGGAAAGTACTAAGGTACCGTGATGAAACTTAGTGTGCATGATAAGCAATGTCTTTACCTTCGCAATTTCTAATTTGATTGAATAATCACATAACAAGAAGGATCAATTTCTATCTTGGTTTGGGTGTAATACAATCGAGTAATTGTTTGGCGTTTAGTGTGAGATATAGAGAACAAAACGCAATTTCCACACTCATCGTCTATTGTAAAGGGTATTGTGTCAATGGAGGTTATGGTATTGTCAATGGTACATCTGCAAGCAGTTGGGAGAACCGTGGAATTAAAACTCGTCAAGTTCTTCAATATCCTTACTCTTGGTACCGACATCCCTGTCGACATAGGACATTTACATTCGATATTCTTTTTAATCACATAAAACAGTCATACTGAAGACGCCTTGACGGTATATATACGCCCTTTACCATGGCTATCCTCAGCTCTTCAGCACTAGCTGTTAGAAGGTCTACCAGAACAGATTCTCCGAATATCCCCTACTCTTTTGCTAAATAAACTAATTATACACTTCATTTATTTCATAACAATTTTGAAACAAGTCAGTTCAAATTATATGAATAACTCTTGTTGGCCCGGATGTTTGCGCGCGGGGGTCTTAGTGTGGGAGGAAACCGGAGTACCCGGGGAAAACCCACGTGTTCAGGCAAGTGATCCTATACCTGTTCACGTCCGATCTGGGAATCGAACCCCGGTCGTCTTGATGAAGACAAGAACGCTACCCACTGCGCAATCCGACCACACTATCGCTGAATATATTCGTTGTGACAAACCCAAAACCTCCAGCGTGACCATAGCTGCAAGGACTGACATATCTTGATTCGACATAGATTTACATGATAGGTGTCATCGATGAAGTAGAAGACGTTTACCCTCCTGAGGCGCATGGTCTCCTTTCATGGGTTTTTTGATATTTTGCCCTATTTATATCGATTTTGAGTTCGAAATGTGGTTTTATTAACCCTTTAATATTCTCTTGCTGTTTTTTATTCCAATATACAACCCCACCGCGATCTGTATGAATGTACCCTGGACCATTTCCTACGTACTCTATACGGCCATGGTATCCATAAGGCACAACGACACCAAGAAATGTATGTTGTGTTCCACCTTGTTGTCTACCTTGCGGAGTGCTAAGGGAATGAGTTTTGGTTGGGGCTAAATCAGCCCGAGTTTCCTCTGGCCCTGACACCAGACATATGTCTGTCAAAAATGTGTAAGTCTGGTGTCGGGGCCACAGGACACTCGGTCTAGGGATAAATGTTCTATACGTAAGGACACGTAAAGACGGAATAAGTTAACAATAAGTTTATAATTTTGATATAAACATAGTTTCTCTTTAGAATATCTTAACGAGCTAAGGTTCTTCTGACCATTTATACACACAACATAAACACGTGACAATGTAATAAGTTTTATTACAACGCTATACATGTTTACATATGTATATATTTTCTACGTTTATACAGATTTGTTTTAGTAAATATAACTTGTTCCATCGTTTTCATTTCATGTTTAAATGTGCATGTGAGTGTAAACAGGCATACCGTTAACACCTGTACATATTCAGTATTTATACCTTTATTCTATTCACAGTCTTCAAATAACATTAAAAACTATAATGTCTCAATAGGGAAAATCCTAATGCGGTAACGTTTGATTGAAATAGGTAATCGTCACGTGGTAGATGTAGATACACCTACAACTGAAGCTATTGTCTATAGTTGTATAGCTATTAGACACAAATCAGCAAGGTATGTAATTCGTGAAATGGCGCATATCAATACCCATCAATTACTTACACTTCAGAACACTTTATTGCTCGGTATGTAGATACAATGGGAGTTAGGCACCAGGCCAACTAAATCACTCTCCTTAATTACTTACTGAGTGTTTTTCTTCTGTTCTTACAAACTGATATTCTGGCGTTATAGTTAGACTAAACGTACAACTAATCCGGACAATACAACAAAAATAAATACATAATTCAATCTTCTGTTCCTCCAAACTTATATTCTAGCGTTATAGTTAGACTAAACGTTTACAAAACACACAACTCATCCGAACAATACAATACATAATTGGAAATAACATTTAATCAAGAAATCTTATAAGACCGATGGAAAATAGATTGTTCAATGTAAACATAATTTAAATACCTTTTTTAGCGTTTGTGTTTACCATACAAACATTTTAAACCGGGTTGATTAATAAATTTATAAAGAGAATAAATAATATAAAATAAAATAAAACACATAAAAAATATAGTAAAACGTTAAAATATATTGCCCAGCACCATTGTATTCGATTGCAATACAGGTACACGTAACGTTCTTAATTTCATATCTCTCTTCCAACTATTGATTATCACAGTCTCATGGGGAGAATTAAGATATATATGATAACATTATCGTATCAGTACCTAACATAACAAGGAATGTAATTACATGTGTTGTACAGTATTAACATATTACATACAGAAAGACTTAATTTATCACAGTCAACAATTTGATACACGTCAGTTATATTTGAATAAAAACAATTATGCAAAAATAATAAAAAGTAAACCATATATTGTATACGGATATATATGAAATGTACATCAATAAATATTTTCTTTACAATACATTCTGCAGCCCAATTGTTTGAAGCATAATAAGTCTGAATAAAATGAACGCAAATTATATGTTTGCTTATCAAAACTCAAAGTACAAATGATCACCCGAAAACATGGGACTGCATGATAGGAGAAAGAGTGTCAAATAATTAAATCTAACAGTATATTCGTGATATTGGTGAATTTCATATTTTTATAATGATATTACATCGACGGAAACATGTAAAAATATACGTCATTCACATGGGACTTTAATCCAGTCATTGTCTTTAATTTGTTACAAAGTATTTCATGCATTGCTTAATGTCGTTTGGTGAAAATAAACTTAATGATTTGTACGGGCATTGTCAACACTTTGCACACTACGTCTTAAACGAATTATTCTCGTCTTCTTCTGACCTTACAGGCATAAGAGTGCCAACAATTAATGATACGGTTTAAATAAACGAGTGATTGTCGACCACTACTTGCAATGCATGGAAAAGAAACAAGGTATAAATAAAATAGTATCAATATAGACATATTTTCGGTTATTGCCACTTGGAAAAAGTAAATTGGGAACTATTTACTTTTTGGGCAGCCACAATTAAACCGTGACATCTAGGGTTATTGTCGTTAAATTATGTCATTGTTGCAACGATTAGTTTCATAAAATGGAAACCAATTGCCTGTCTGCTTGCCTAGCTATGGGCCGATGACAATGGGTTTGTCATTTTGAGATCAATTTATGAGGACACTAGCGACTGATCTTCGACTGCTAATAGGAACACGGTTAAATAAAACTGTGTTTTTGCATTCTCGACCAATAACTTTATAGTTTGTTATGAATAGTTAAGCTTGAAAGGTCAATAGATCTTTTGGAAATAAACAACTTGGAAATATGAATTTCTGAAAAGTTGCCAATAAGTCTTTGTTGCAAAATCATACACAGAAATACGTAGAAAGCAGCTTTCGGTCATTCATATGTTGGAGTTAAACATACACTTAATATGATAATAACTCATATCTGTTAAAAGTAGAGTTGCAATGGAATAGAAAATCAACACCAAACACTATACTAATTCTCTATGAAGGACACGTCTAAAAGAAATCCGGATAATATATGTATTTATAATCTGATAGGATACAATATGTTCAGCTTAACGCCACTAGGCTTTCTAACTACTGTCCATGTTCATTCATGCAATGTCAAATGCGTACAGGCCTTTATAAGAACTATCACTGGAATCACTTATGCGTCCGAAAATATTTAGTTTTTCGCCGGATGAGGGTGTCATCACATCAATGTTCCACGTGTTGTTGTCACCTCTTTCAAAATTATTAGTTCCTATTCTAACAATGTCTATGACCGAAGAAGTCAGGCGGAAATGAACATCCGTTTCCGCTGGAATTGACTTTGTTTTTGGCTCGATAAGAGTCATGCGTCCAACCATAGCTTCTGGAAAGACTTTCGGGAATGGTTGATATTGCTTTACTGGGTTTTTACAATATATGAGATACTGCAATACTTTTTCGTAAGAAGAACCATTTTCTTTCTTTGCAAACATCAGAAATTTGTAAAAGCCCGCTCTGTTCATTCGTATTTGGACCACGAGCTCGCTCTGACCTTGCTCCAACATAATGTATTCATCATCGCCCTCGTCGTCTTCAGAGAATGCTAGCTTGCCAAGAGCTTTAACTGGCTCTATGACCGGCAGACGCATTTCTAACTCTCCTGTATCCGATTCAAATGATGCACGTTGCGCCACTCTCTTGTCAAACCCATACTCTGCGTAGTTAGGTTCTGCTCCCCACAAACCAAAATGTACCGGAAATGGTTTGGCGGTTTTGTCTACTATTTTACAGTCAATCACGTAACTGACTAGACTATTTAAACTGTTCTGTTCTCCCTGGTTTCCATACAGACTTAGAGTGTACTTTCCCAGTTTTTGAGGCCTGACCGTTACAGAGTATGTTGTCTCCCTTTCCTTCTCAACAAACACACACTGGTCATGCAATGTGCCGTTTACGTCACTGAGGCGTGCGCCTACGTTGTTAAGAAGCTTTCCTCTTGCGACAAGCTTGACAACTACTTCCTTTGTCACCGGGATTATTGACTCTTTGTGCGACACTAAGTCTACATCATACAGAACAGCCTGTTTTGGCATCTTTACCAACTTGCTAAAGTTTTCTAAGTCACGTGGCTGGTTAAGTAACTGCCATTGCTGACTTAAAGTCATGTCCTTTTTAGTGTATGGAAAATGGTCGTTGATGAAAATATCTGGGTCAGTCAAGAAGTAAAATTCTCCCTCATGCCTGTGAAATTTATTGTCGCCAACATGACCGGCGTCCCACGTGCAATCAACAAGACGCCATTCATTGTTTACGAAAACGACATTCCAGGCATGATTTGTATCTGTTTTGGTTGTTATGGCGACGCCAGCCTTGTGGCCATACCCCTTCGCATATCCGGAAATAGTCTTTGCTGGAACATTTACCTCTCTGAAACATCAAATATTACATTTGTACTAGAATGTGCTGGGAATGTTAAACATGCATCTACATTTATTTAATTCTTTTTGCAATTACCAACCACGCAGAATAATATTCAATATGTTTTTTCGCCTTTGATATAATTTTCATATATTGGATTTTAGCTAAAAACCCTTGCCAACTAACATGAACTATATAAAGCAAAGTGAACTTACTCAATATGTTCGAGTAGGCTGAAAGTCCAATAGGACATTTGAACAAAATCTATTCGTGGAAGCTGAATTTAATATAAACTATGATTTCCGCTGTAGAACAAACAAAAATGTGTCTGGTTTAATCGTAGAAATCTATATTTGATTAATTAATTGTGCTTGAATCTTACAATTTTAGTTCCCTTTTTACAAATCAGGAGGGAGTATAGCAGTATTTAGCACCTATATTAAGAATAAAATCGGTAGTCAATAAGTAAAAAAAATCCTCTAAAAATGTGAAATAACACATTATGTAATTAGTTATCATTGTTCCAGGAGCGTATTCTTTATATTGGATTGCTAACCTGCATAGAGACAAAAACAGGTCGGCATAGCCCTGACACACACTGCAGCGGTTGCGGAGTACGGAATCTGGATCATTGGATTTCTTTTGTGCTCCGTCAAGATTGAGGAATCCCGCCACGTCATACCTACATTCAGAACATTGAATCAATATTGAATATAAAGTTACAAAAAACATTATTAACAAATTGATCTAAATCTACCTATAAACCGACATATCTTTCTTCGTAAAGTGTAAGTGTAGTACACAGTGAAATCTCATTGCATTTTAATTGACCGTAGGATGGCTACGCTCTGCATAGATACGTACAGTATTCATTGTGAGAAAAAAAGACATATTTGTTAATGTAAATTAAAATTGGTTAAGTATTGAAGTTGACTGCTTCACCACTGAATCTAATTGGTAAATCGGTCCGCCATCCAAGTTTAACCTTATTTGCAATAGTTTAATCTTACACTAAATGTGATAGTATACTCTAACCTTATTTGCGATAGTGTTATCTCACCATATTTCGGATAGTATACTCTAACCATATTTGTGATAGTATACTCTAACCCTGTTTGCGATAGTATAACCAAACCATATTTGCGATAGTATACTCTAACCCTATTTGCTATAGTATAATATAACCCTATTTGCGATAGTATACTCTAACCCTATTTGCGATACAGTCGTAAATCTCAAAACACTGTAGAAGTATCCCTTTCAGTTTTCATTTAGAAATATTTTTCAGAGTTTGTTTCGTTGAGCTTGACCTTTGATATACAATTACCACCTTTTCAGACATACTGCTCTGCTTGTGGCTTATCAGACACTTACTCAATATTTCTCGAGACCCATTGGTAAATTGCCCGAATTTTTTCCAGATGATTCTTTGCTGGCTGACAGAGATATTTTGCTAGTTCTGGGATTGATGCTGTAGCAGATTTAGGAGTCTGAAAATATATTTATAATATATTTATAGCAAGTTATGATAGTTCAGAAAGGTATTACATTTGTAACACAGATACATTATCGGGGCCACAAGTGAATCGCAAGTGAAACAGGGACGGACCTTCAAGTGTTTATGTAAGTTGATAAAGAGTATAGCAATGTAACCTACGTGGTCGGTCAGGTTACCCTATAACTTTTCCCATTAAATCGGGGAATTAAGCCCCGTCCATCTTGGTGAAAGGCGAGTACGTTATCCACAGCGCCACTCGCCTACTGTAACAAATGAAAGTGATAAATTGTCGAGGCCTTTAGTCTATAAGCTAAGATATTGTCAGGGGCCACAATGTGTCAGTGAATACCTTTTCGGGGCCACCAGTATATGTTAGCTAATTTAGTGTCGGGGCCACAATGTATCAGTAAATACCTTTTCGGGGCCAACAGTGTATGTTAGCTAATTTAGTGTCGGGGCCACAATGTATCAGTAAATACTTTTTCGGTGCCACCAGTGTTTGTTAGCTGATTTAGTGTCGGGGCCACAATGTGTCAGTAAATACCTGTCATGGCCAACAGTTCACCTACCTTAGCTACATGTTCATCGATGTTTTTAAACATGCTAACATCTGGCACGATATCAATTTTCTTCAGTTTACATGGCTTTGGTGGATAGTCTTCCCCATCTAGAGCTTCCAATTCAAGACTTTCATCGATGTGAGATTTTGTCGAAGATTTTGACTGTTTCGCCGTCTGAGGTTGGGTTGGTGCATGTCGCTTGGTTGCAGAAGTTTGTGTAACAGTGATGGCGGGGGTTGAGGAGGAGTTCTTAGAAGAATTTCCCAATCTTTTGTTTGTGGACGATTCGTTATAGTTGTCGTCTAAATCCACATCGCTAATGACCGTGTCATGTGTCTCTCGACTTTTAGTCGGCTTTGTTTGGGTGGAGGTTCCGCAACCCATGGTAGCTATAACTCAGTGATCTGTCACCTGAAACAAATACCAGGCGTACAAGCCATTTACCCTACCCTTTACATGTGTTACTAGATCAGACGTACAAGCCATTTACCCTACCTTGTACATGTGTTACTACACCTGACGTACAAGCTATTTACCCTACCCTTTACATGTGTTACTAGATCAGACGTACAAGCCATTAATCCTACTCTTTACATGTGTTATTTAACAACTAGTGAAAACAAGAAAAGTCGGATGGTCGTCACCACATTCCCACAATTCCATAACTAGTATGTTGCCAACCCTACAATAGTTGTAGAGGGAAACCAACCTACAACCCTTTTACGTTATTTGAACCGATGAGTATTGAGTTCTTGGTGAAAATCAATGTGGACACGAACATCAATGACCCCCTCCTCTCACTCCTGATCTCTGCATGTATGTTGGTAACGTAATCAACAGTGTCGACAGAGAGAACATCTGGTCTGTAAACTAGTATGACCTACTGTTTTAAACTATTGACAAGTCATTGTAAATCTTTATATTGACTTTATCAATCAGTGGTAAGGTAGTTCAATCCATCAGGACCAAGGGATCGATGTGGAGTTATTTGTGTATTGTAAAGATGAACACATTTGAAATAAGTACAATATTCCAGAAACCAAGTACTGAAAGCCTTTCAACAAAGATAATGTTATAATTATTATTGATAAAGTGGTAGATAAAAACGACAACATAAAACAAAACAAAATATCGAGGACACCAGTAACAATATGTGCCGTATATGATACTGATTATTTAACGCGGCTATGGTTAAATTCATATTTTGGAACGGACTGACTGCTTTTAGGTAGTTTAAAATTGTTGGGGTATTTACTGCTTCAAAAAGAAAATTAAGACTAGCTTTCTGCTATAAAATATTATGGTGTGCGCTGAAGGTCAATGATGTATACTTAATTATTCATTTCTCCTTAACTGTAAATAGTACATGGCATACTATGCATCGAGGCGTGCCTTTGTGTTTGTTAGCACACTTAGAAACGGGTAAGGACAACTTCGTCTCGGCGCGTTTCTCTATAGCTAATACGCCCTTCACCGATTGCTTGTGTAATTAATTGAGGGTATTGTGTTGTTTGCATATAAAGTAAGTTTATTTTGTCAATATGACATTACACTCATTATAATAACGGGTTTAAATATGCTAAATAGAGTTTCAAATCAACAGGGGTTGGCATTAAGGCGGCTTTGATGATGCGGTCTTCATGTTCCCTAATACTGTGGTTCCTATGAGTTAATAGCTTTATGTCAAACCTATAATGACTTCATCGAACTCTGAATGCGTGTATGAAGGTTACCAACAAAGTCAGCAAAATTAATAACTCGGCAAAAATAAGTGTTTTACACAGTATGTAACTTTAAGTATGAATCATAAAGGTTGTAATGTTTTCTTTCTTAACTTCGATAATACATTTATTATATCCAAGGCGTGCATAATACTTCAGTAAAGCTATGTATCCGTCTTAAATCATATTTGGTTTATATATAGCTTATGCATATTTAGAATTTAACCTCGTACGATGATTCTTTTTTTGAGAGTCGAGTCTGTCTTTGAGGCAAAGCGAATCAAGCGTGAATACAATTCTATGAAGCGCTTTATTTGGTGACCGTAGCCGTACGCTATGTTTGTTTCTAATATTAGTATATGTGACTCGCCATCGATATAGGATCGTGTTACTTTTAATGAACCGTTTACATATTTTTCTCACTAGGAACATCGTGAATGGTCGGATACACAGATCGATCGCTAAGGTAAATGACGCTCTGGTAACTTAACAAATATCGTCAATAGGCAGTAATAAATGGTCGTTTTCGTCGATATCTTAATTAATAAGTAAACTTTTGATATTAATCAATTTGTGGAGTTAATCTTACTACATTGGCTTTTCTACTAGATGAACTACAGCTATCTTGCGTTTCCAAACTCTTGCTTATAGACAAGCGTGGCTCATAAAAAGGATAGTAAACTAAAACAGACGTACGTTGTGATTCTACAATATGTGGATTTTTCAACTGACTCTATTTATAAACAAATAGATGTGCTGTTTATTCAATGTTATCAATATCACATTCTAGTCAAGTTGAACCTCAATCCAATAGCAATGGAATGTATAATTATAATAATAATTCAAGGTTCTTATATAACGCTTTATCATAATCTAGTTCGTAGGTCGTCTCAAAGGGGTTCACGAATTATTTTCCGTGATTTTAGGGCCTATGCAACCAGCTAATACCTTTCTCAACTCACTGGGGAGCAAACAGCCAGTGCTGCCATTTCGGCGCTCACAACTAGCATTCGACAACTCTAGCACTGCCCAACCACGTAATCATTTACAGCTGAGTAGACCGGAACAAGATACAACACAGTGTTGTTGACTGTGACTCGAACCCGTAACCCTTATATATATATATATATATATATATATATATTGTGGGGAGTAGTTTATGAGATGTCTTGTACACAACAAGCATTTGACATGTACTATGGACGGACATACGGACGGGCAGAAATCAGACGGACACACTGACAAAGCGATTAAGGTGTTGTTGGGGTTAAAATAAGTAATACACCAATTTTGATATTAAGATTTAAAAAAACCCATTCATATCCTTAAAATTATAACAAAAGCCTATATTCACACCTGGATGATGATTTTAATCTAAATCCATAATGTTACATGTAAATTGATATTTCTAAAATGTTATTATTATGATACAACTTTTTAGCCAATATCTAAAGTCTTATTATACATTAAAATTTCCTATACTCACTTTTAAACCTAGGTTGGACAATTAAAACTGGATAAATACCATTTACTGCGTCTTTTTATCGGAGTCTTAATGTTTCGTTCCCAGTCCGGTATCATAAGTTTTATTGCTAACGTCTGTCTGTCCTTGTAATCGATTAAACAAGTAGTAAGTTTAATTATAACGGCAACATTTTATAAAACACCGACGTTTGAGCATTAAACAAATATGTATTGACGGTTTTCTGATAAAGGTATGGCACTAGACTATACGCTATACATTAAACGGTCCCGCGGTACTCCCATTAACAACTCTGTCTGGAGACGACGAAACGTCCTTGTTCTGTAGTAGCCGAGTTACTAAAATCACCTAGTATCCTTTGACCATGCGTTGTTTAGGGTAGTCCAAAGGGGATGAATGATAATTTCCCTAAGCTTCGTTTTTTTTTAATTATTTGTTGTATTATGTATATATTGGTTAATTCCCGACAATCCACCTCTCTAGATATACTTTCAGACGGGATTGATACCTGACAATCTACCTCTCTAGATCTACTTTCTGTCCTGTTTAATACCTGACAATCTACCTCTCTAGATCTACTTTCTGACCGATTTATTACCGGACAACCTACCTCTCTAGATCTACTCTCTGACGGGGTTAATACCTGACAAGCTACCTTTCTATCTACTTTCTGACCTGGTTAATACCTGACAATCTACTTCTCTATATCTACTTTTCTGACCGGGTTAATACCTGAAAATCTATCTATCTAGATCTACTTTCTGACCGGGTTAACACCTGACAACCTACCTCTCTAGATCTACTTTCTGACCGGGTTAATACCTGATAATCTACCTCTCTAGTTCTACATTCTGACCTACCTGACAATCTGCCTCCTAGATCTACATTCTGCCCTGGTTAATACCTGACAACCTACCTCTCTAGATCTACTTTCTGACCGGGTTAATACCTGACAATCTACCTCTCTAGATCTACTCTCTGACGGGGTTAATATATGAAATCTACCTCTCTAGATCTACATTCTGACCTGTTAATAACTGACAATCTACCTCTCTAGATCTACTCTCTGACGGGGCTAATACCTGACAATCTTCCTATCTAGATATACATTCTGACCTGTTTAATACCTGATAATCTACTTCTGTTGATCTACTTTCTGACCTGGTTGATACCTGACAATCTATCTCTCTAAATCTACATTCTGACCTACCTGACAATCTACCTCCTAGATCTACATTCTGCCCTGGTTAATACCTGACAATCTATCTCTGTTGATCTATTTTCTGAACGGATTAATACCCGACAATCAACCTCTTTAGATCTACTTTCTGAACGGGTTAATACCCGACAATCTACCTCTCTAGATCTACTTTCTGCTAGGGTTAACACCTGATAATCTACCTCTCTAGATCTACTTTCTGACCGGGTTAGTACCTGACAATCATCTCTCTAGATCTACGTTCTTTCTGACCGGGTAAATACCTGACAATATACCTCTCAAGATCTTATTTCTGACCGGGTTAATACCAGACAATCTACCTCTCTTAATCTACTTTTTGACCGAGTTAATACGTGGACTACGCGGTGTTTTTTTATCTGACCACAATACAAGACATTGTTTTCCACTTACCATAGTCACGCGCCACATTAAATTTTAAACACCACTCAATGCACTGATTGTTTACAGTTAGGGTACACACAAGGCCCAAATAAATTGTTCAAAGCATTGTTAACTTACCCGATGCAAACACAAATCCTTAATAGGCATTTTTGAGACATAGGAATATTAATTTAGTTCTTTGGATTCTTATGGTGACTTTGGGGTTTTGAATAGCTTCTCGTGTACATGAAGTTTTTGATTTTAATGTTTCTAAAAATACATCGGATATTACAGCTTGAAGATGTCATTAAATCAACCATGCTTTTAATGAATAGGAACAGGTAACCGTCACAGCATTCAATACGTTTGTATTGATTCTATTTTGAAATATGATACCCTTATATAAATCTGTGATACATGACTTTTGAATGGGTCGATACATCTGTCAGTAACCACAGGGGACTGATAATCAAGACACAGTACGTATACTGTAAACCGGGAAACTGTCGCCGCAGTTTAACTTTCGCCCCTTTCACCTTCCGATCTGAGGGCGAATATAATATGATGGCGAAAGTTTAAAAAGAAATTACGTATACGACGGCACATGTTTTGTCACTACTTCGTCTACACTGAGGCCTAACTCAGATACCGAATGTGATGCCATTGAGGTCCAGTGTGTTTCAATGTTGAGGTGTAGGGCGAATTTAACAAAGGGCGAATAAGGACTCTGTCGGTGAAGGGCGAAAGTTTAACGCAGCGAAAGTTTCCCGGTGTACAGTAAATTTGCAGGCCCCTGTGGCAGTAACCAAACTTCTTCTTCACCAGAGGAAGGGATTAAATTCATAGTAAAATTTCATAATGAAACCGAAAAAAGGCGATATAATACATTATAAATAGCGTTACAGGTATAGTATGCTTTATGTTCAGCTGAATCACCGAAAATAATTTATTATCATTACGTCTGTGTTTAACCGGAATGAGTGTCATACTACCATGTCCACAGAAGAACAGACCAGCGAACATTCCCTTTAAATTGACATTTAGGTATAGAATTAGCTCTAGTAAAAGGTTAATATCGTTTTCATATGACCTCAATTAAATGTTACGATGACATTAACATGCCAACAGAAAAAAACATGTGTAATATGTGGTGAGAAAAAATATGAAAGTTGAAAAAAGTGTATTCCGAAACTCATTTAAGATTGTTTTGCCCCATTGACTCGCCTTCCCTATACATGCACCCGGAGTTGTAAAAGTAGGGCGGAATTGACATATACTTCCACGCATATTAGATACCATTTAGCCTTTTGAGAAGTCCAACAACTTTTTTTTTCTGAAATTTTGTCGGTCACAGGACATGTCTAATTGACATTTTCGTTCAACCCCAAGATACAGATCTAATGTTTGGAGAGGCAAACATACTATCAATAATCTACTGAAAGTTCCGTCTTGGTTAAAATCTTCTTAAAGTGAACGTATTTGTAAGCCTTGGTCAGTATATGCCAACAGTTACATTGAAATCAGATATGTATGGTCATTAAATATTACCAGACGGACATGTCCATATCAATTAACTTCCTTAAACGACATTAGCTGTTAATAGGACGTTACACGAAATAAAGCCAAACCATGTCGATTATTGTATACAGAGTCGGTAGAGTAACACATTTTAATTTGAATGTTTAATCCTAAACAACACCCCCTCATTTTTATTATTAGCTGTCTATTATCAGTCGTCAGGACAAAGGAAATGACGTCATATAGCCTTCAAGATGGCGTTGTTGAACGGTATTATGATGGTTTGGGGGTATGTCGTTATTTCCAACTAATTCAACAATTATTTTTGTTTAATTGATAAAGATAATGTTGAGTTTGTCTCCATTATATAATCAATGGCTTTTATTGTAATATCTAAACAAGTCGTATCGGAGGTCTTGCTTTGATAAAACTCCTGGGCCTATTCATGGCACCGTTCTCATGCTCAAGCATCGATTCTATGCTCAAACCATCAGCTTTCATGTAACTCGCTTAAATAATGTCAAACGGTCAAAAAGTCAAATATAAACATTGATGTCTATTCATTTATAATTGAAACAAGAAATTATAGGCGTGTGCGCAAAAAAAACAACATGTTTGAGCGTGAGAACGGTTTCAAGAATACGCGCCCAGGACTATTTTTATTTGGAGCTTAATGAGACATTATATACAATACGTTAAAATAATATTTTTACATCCAAGTGAACTGATATGAATAAATAATTAAGTAAATAAACAAATAGGCATATCTTCACCAATGCCAGCAGAAAAAAAATATATATTTCTGTCTAAACTAAAGTTAAGCTAGCAAAATATTAGTTCTGTTTGTTTGAAGAAAAGTGTGGAATTGAATTCATTCATCATTGTAAATGGATGTTAGTTAGTGTATAACTGAGAGAATAAATACTTGAGGGCTTCTAAAGTGTGACTTTTATCATTATCTATATTCAGTTAAAAATTCAAAAATATTTACGAAATGAAAGGAATTACACGTACCTGTTCGGGACAATCTCACTCTTCAATTCAGCATGCTTAGTCCGTCCAACTCCTGTCGTCTCAAGAGAAAATAGCAACCATCTCCAAAACACACAGCCTATAGGCACTCCCCACTGTCATAATTAAAGTTCTATCATAGCTCAAATAACTCGCTGACACGGGTAGGAATCGAATACGTGTTAGGGGTCCTCAACGATAGTTGTAAAAATAGCACATACATAATACATGTGTATAAACAAAAAGCCGGTATGTCAATAGTTGTATAGTCCTTCGCGTGTACAAAGTATAGGGTTGTGCTAAGATTTAACTTTTGAAATTACGTCCTAACTGATTAAGATATAAATGAATTGGTCGAAATTCAAAAAAGTTTGTGACATACACTCTTTAATCCGGAAAACAGATGGGATTGCGGACGAACTAAGTGGATTTTCGTCTTTCACTACATGGCCTGAATGACTTAGTCGTACCCTTTCGGAGACAGGGTGTAAATCATATTGTTTTCCATTATCAGGGTAAATCAAGTGCCCAGGTATACATTTACTCTGTTCAATAGTTACGTTTGTGAAATTAGGGCCGTGTCACGTGTACGTGATCTTGGGGCTATATAGTCCTTACATTGTAAGTAGTATATCATTCAGATGTAGCGTAGAACATAATTCTTTAAATAGTTTTTATCTGCTTTAAAAAACAATCTTTTGTATCATCGTCGGAAATCAAATATACACGTTCTATAACCCAGAACAGCAAGTATAGTGGTTTAAAGAAATGTAATTTGAGTCATATTTATCATGGATATTTCTGGATGTTAAGTCAGAGATCTTTATTAAGATCTATTATAAACATAAACGGTAAAGACATCTCCTCGACTTGATGACGATTTTGTTGAATTGAATATTCTAGCATTAACAGATGTATATATAGCTGTTAACATTAAGTTCTATATGTTGCTCCTAATGAAGCTATACGTATGTAGGTGTGAATATGTAACTGTGTATGTGTAGCTGTGTATATGTAACTTGACATATGTAACTGTGTAAATGTAACTGTGTATATGTAACTGTGTATATGTAACTGTGTATATGAAACTGTGTATATGTAGATATGTGTATGTAACAGTGTATATGGAAATTTGTATATGTAGTTGTGTATATGTTACTGTGTATATATAGCTGTGTATATGTAACTGTGTATATGTAACTCTGTATATGAAACTGTGTATATGTAGATATGTATATGTAACTGTGTATATGTAGATATGTGTATGTAACAGTGTATATGAAAATGTGTATATGTAGTTGTGTATATGTTACTGTGTATATATAGCTATGTATATGTAACTGTGTTTCTGTAACTGTGTATATATAACTGTGTTTATGTAACTGTGTATATGTAACTGGGTTTATGTAACTGTGTATATTTAACTGAGTTTATGTAACTGTGTATATGTAACTGTGTCTATATAGGTCTGTTTATGTAGTTGCGTATATGTAACTGTGTATATGTAGCTGTGTATATGTAGCTGTGTTTATGTAACGGTGTATATGTAGTTGTGTATATTTAACTGTGTTTATGTAATTGTGCATAAGTAACTATGTAAATATAATATATATATGTAGCTGTGCAAATATATAGCTTTGTATATGTAACTGTCTATATATGTAACTGTGTAAATGTAACTCTGTATATGTTACTGTGTATATGTAACTGTGTATATGTAACTGCGTATATGTAACTGTGTTTATGTAACTGTGTATATGTAACTGTGTATATGAAACTGTGTATATGTAGATATGTGTATGTAACAGTGTATATGAAAATTTGTATATGTAGTTGTGTATATGTTACTGTGTATATATAGCTATGTATATGTAACTGTGTTTCTGTAACTGTGTATATATAACTGTGTTTATGTAACTGTGTATATGTAACTGTGTATATGTAACTGTGTATATGCAGCTGTGTATATGTAACTGTGTATATGTAGTTGTGTATATGTAACTGTGTAATTTAACTGTGCATATGTTACTGTGTATATGTAACTGTGTATATGTAACTATGTTTATGCATCTACTCACTTTAATAAAAAAACGACATAACACGGACTATGAATGAAAAAGGCCACCCTCAAAGAGGGTGACTAAGAATTATTTATTTATGAAATTTGAGGAAATTTTCCGAATTAGAAATACAGCATAAAAGTACATACAGATAATGTACATGAAACTTTTAACTCTGGAGTATATATCATAAAAAGCCAATGTGGGGTTAACAAAAAAACGGCCCCCCTTTTGTCAATGATTGGGTTGGCAAACCCATCTTTACATGATTATTGCGAGCCGGCTGCCCCTTCCCTGTTAACTAGGGGAGGTAGGTTTACCTAATGCACTGACCAGTCGGCAAGTGTTGTCTCACTTCAACATAAACTAGCAACAACCTGTCAGGTTACAAATTATAAACGGTGTGTTCCCTGAACGCATACATGTTGAGAACAATAGGTAGAAACTTCAAAGGGAGGGTAATTATAGTTTGTATCATATATGTATTATGTTTTCCTGATATATTTTACCTGTAGGTCTACATGTGATTATTACAGGTAAAAAGTTTGTATCATATATATCAAGCGCAATATTTTTATTTGATAACTCCATACTTAATATCAGTATATTATGTACATAAAATACAAATAGAACAGTGAAAGACATACTATATTTTAAAAGATATTAAATCATGAAACTTAGTTAGTACATTACAAAGTTGTTATGTTGACAACATACAAAAGAAAATATATAATCATTGTCAGTGGCACAAAGCTGGAACATACACGATTGCGCAGATATTAAGTATAGACTTTCTTTTAGAAGTAGCCTGACTTAGATACTTACTAAGGTTTCTCAATTGTTTTACATTTTTGCAGGCAAATAATTGTACTAATTTATAGACGGACGGACGATGGAACTTATAGGGTTTAATATATTTGGTTCTAAGCTCCGAGTAAACTGGACACAACAAAATAAAATGGGTTTCATCCTCGACGTCGTTTCTATTGCAAAACGGACACCGCCGTTGAGCTCTATTATACCTACCTGTTTCTATACTTAGTGTATGAGATTGTAACCTATATTTACTGAGGATTTTTTTACACTTATAAGTTAGTGACTTGGTGAGGTAGAACTGCATGTCGTAATGATCTACGATATATTTATACAACCTATATTTGGAGGAGTTTTCAAACATGCTTCACACTTCTTGGATAAAAGTATCTTGTACACGTTGGGTGTATAGAAATACGAAATGTTTTTCATTAGAAATACACTGAGCCAACCAATCATCATTAGATACATATTTGAGTGTTTTAATCTATTTTGCAGACACTATTTTATGGTTACCTTTCTCCACGAGATGACCTAATTCTGTATAAGTGACCGTTATATGCTAAGTTGTTACCACCTATTCTATTTCTAATAAACTTATACTATAACTGAGCATTAGCCATGATTGGAAATTAACAGTATCAGTACAAATTGTAGAATGATAGCATTGAAGATAATTTTGAAGTTTATATAGATAGATTGCATTAGATACGCACCTCAAAGTGTCATGCCATCTGTAGCTTGGGATCATTAATGCAGTTCACTATTTTCTTAACTGATCTCAGAGCAGTGAACAGATTTTAAATTAATACATTTCATTTGCAATATAACTTTTGAACCAGTAACTTTAAAAAAATATTTTGATAGAAAATGATAAAGAAAATGAAATTTAAATCGCAATAATTTATTGTTATCGTAATGGAAAAAAATATAAGAGTATTAAACGTATACAATAAATGTACGTCTTCATATACATTTTAATTTCATATAAAAAATCATAACATATCAATTTGAATTTCTTTCACATGTACAGGTGAAAAACACAGGTAAAAACACAGGTAAAAAGCACAGGTAAATCAAACTAACTTTAACGAAATAGGCTATAATCACTATGAAAACATATTTCCTGATATGTGTTTTTAAAATGCATGCGTTCAGGGATACAGCCTTATAAACATCTAATGATACACAGTACATAGTAATCTTGGACAATGTTATTAAACACCACCTCTGAACAACCTACTTGCGCAAACAATTCAAGCTCCAATATTTAAATTAGAATAACAGTTAATCTACAAAACTTGTTATGACGTTACGAGCTTAAATCATGAATAACACCTTAAGTCAGTAGTATTGTCAAGAATTGGACAAAACGAAAGGGAGATAGAGGGTGGGCATTGTGCAGAAAAAATGTTATAACTTTACTGGATGGGATATGTAACACAGCTTAAATCTAAGATGGCTGACTGATAGAGAGGGCTCAGCGTCCCCTTGAAATTAACTTAACAATCAGATGACCCTCAGCTGGTGACCCGTGACACTTCATCCTTAGGGGACTACTGGCTACGACACAAGGGACATAACCTTTACTGTTATGCATAAGATTTTTTTTTAAAAATCGGAAAATATTTAAAATGATCTTGTTTAGTGTTTCCGATGCATTATTAAGCTAATGGCTTAGCTGCCTTTTATGCATCTACTCACTTTAACAAGAAACGACACAACACGGACTGTGAATGAAAAAGGCCAGCCTCAAAGAGGGTGACTTGGTATTTGTTTATGAAATTTGAGGAAATTTTCCGAATTAGAAATATAGCATAACAATACATACATATAATATACATGAAACTTTTAACTCTGGAGTACATATCATAAAAAGCCAATGTGGGGTTAACAGAAAACCGCCACAAAGACATTGACAATGTCTTCCCCACAATGTATATATAGCTATGTATATGTAACTGTGTATATATTGATGTGTACATATGTTTCTGTGTTTATGTAACTGTATATATGTAATTGTGTATATGTAATTGTGTATATGGAACTGTGTATATGGAACTGTGTATATGGAACTGTGTATATATAGCTTTGTATATGTTACTGTGTATATATTGCTGTGTACATATGTTACTGTGTTTATGTAACTGTATATATGTAATTGTGTATATGTAACTGTGTATATGTAATTGTGTATATGTAATTGTGTATATGTAACTGTGTATATGTAACGTTGTATATTTAACTGTGCATATGTAACTGTTTATATGTAGCTGTGTATATGTAACTGTGTGTATCTAACTGTGTATAGGTAGCTGTGTATATATGTAACTGTATATGTAACTGTATATATGTAGCTGTGTTGATGCAACTGTGTATATGTAACTGTGTATATGTAACAGTGTATATGTAACTATGTGTATGTAACGTTGTGTGTATAGCTATGTATATGTAAATGTGTATATGTAACTGTGCATATGTAACTGTGTATATGTTGCTGTGTATATGTAACTGTGTATATGTAACTGTGTTTATGTAACGTTGTGTATATAGCTATGTATATGTAAATGTGTATATGTAACTGTGTATATGTTACTGTGTATATTTAACATTGTATATACAGCTATGCATATGTATCAATATGTATGGAACTGTGTATATGAAGATGTACCTATATAGCTATGTATATGTTGGTGGATATTTAATGAACTATAGCTATATTTTTGATACTGTGTATATGAAGCCTTATATTTATAGCTATATATATGAAGCTGTAGTTATGTACGTGTACATTTATGTAGCTGTTTATTTGCACCTGTTTGTTTGTAGCTGTATCTGTAGCTGTAAATATGCAGCTGTGTATATGGAGGTGTATATATGTAAATGTATGTATGTATCTATTTACACATAGCTGTAAATATGTAGTTGTTTATAAGTTAAAGGCTGTGTACATGTTGCTGTACATGTATCTGTATAAATATGCAGCTGTATAATTTTGACTCTATATGTAACTTATATGGAACTGTAAATATGTAGTTATTTATATCTAGATTTGTATATACAGTTGTATATATATGTAGCTATTTATGTGTAGCTGTACATATGTAGCTCTATACATTGTATATGTAACTGGATACATGTATGTAGCTGTATTCGTGTAGCTGTGAATGTAGCTATATATATATATATGTACATATTTATATGTGGCTGTTACATGTAGGTTACTGTTAATGTGTAGCTGTTCTTTCTTAATTTATTTAATAGTTTAATGCATATTTTCTGTAACGTACAGTTAGTCTTTTTTGTATGTTTTATGTATTGATAAAGGAATTTGCTGATCCGAAAGTTCAACTTGCACACTGTTGACATCACTTTGTGCTGTAGCAAAGGAGCGGCATATTGTAACCGTATCTCTATGTACATTCAGCTCTATTCATTGTACATTTATGTATAGTCATTTCCTTTACAGCTCCTTTTCATGTCTCGGTACATGTTACAGAAACAAACTTTTTCACAAACGTCCTTAATAATGTGTCAATAACACCAGTTCTACCATGTAGTGTTAGGTGTCTCTGGAGTCATAATCGTAAAGTATTTTTGATATATTTAAGTTTCGGACCACAGTTATATTCCTTACATAACTTCATGTCAATACCGACATACACACCTAGTACCCATTAAACATCTTAACATAACTTATTACTTCTCTTGATGTGACATGTTACCTTTACCGACACATGCTATTTCTGATTTTTCTATATTTACCTTAGCGCCATAGTATTCCCTATAAAAATCATAATAAAAAAATAGAAAAAACAAAATCTTTTCGATTGATTTTCATTACTTTTCTCTGTCACTGAGAGATTAAGTATCACATAAAGTAACCATCAGAAATCTCCTGATCGATGATACAACTTTTTCTACTTTCAGAAGACAAATCATCCTTTTACATGAATACAAGATTAATAACTCATTGTTTCATAGATATGGCATATTCTATATTTATTATACGTTAAACAACATGAGGAAATGAACCATTAATCTCCTTATAAAATAACAACAGTACACGTTACTGAAGGATATTTGATGTTTTCCCGTTGATTACCAAGGACGATATAACGCCAAACCTCTTCTAGTCTGCATATTAGGCTCTTTGCACATACGTCATATACACACCACCCTATATATATTCATTCATATACATATTGAACTAATTATCTTCTATTTTAATGTATTATGATGATTTGTATGCCTGTTTTGTTTATCATATATGCCTAATACTGTTATCCATATGTTGTAAAGCGCTTAAGATTGATGTTATACAAGATATATGGCGCTATATAAATGTTGTACATTTTATTATATATATATATATATCACGAGTTTACAGACAATACAACAAGACCGAAATAGCAGTAAAATTGTTTTAATCATAGTAACCATAATTTCACATTGTTCTTACAATGTTCCACATAAGAATATGCATAAAATATATACTACAACACTCTACAGACCTACATTAATCCTATCTTACCAACCCTACAAAACAACCTAACAGTGACTTCTAGGGGGCTACTCGTACGACTCTATTTATATATATAAATTAACTGGTAGACTTCTACCATATATTGTTAAACTGGTAGACTTCTACCTACCTATATTTAAAATGGTAGACTTCAATCATATATTGTTAAAACTGGTAGACTTCTACCATCTATTGTTAAAACTGGTAGATTCCATCAACCTATAGTTAAAGTGGTAGACTTCTACCATCTATTGCTAAACTGGTAGACTTCTAACATCTATTATAGTTAAGCTGGTAGACTTCTACCAATTAATGTTACACTGGTAGACGTCTACCAATTAATGTTACACTGGTAGACTTCTACCATATATAGTTAAAGTGGTAGACTTCTACCATATATAGTTAAAGTGGTAGACTTCTACCATATATAGTTAAAGTGGTAGACTTCTACCATATATTGTTAAACTACAGGTAGACCTCTACCCATTATCTTTATCCATCCAATTATCTGAATTGGGGTATACAAATTGTTGTCCCCAACAATTTGAGAGGCCAAAACGAGTATTTGATAAACTTTAAATACTCCAGGCTCCTATGTACTCCTACCCCCCACCCAGGCACCCTCCCATCTCTGTCTCCCAGCTACAGACATTTTTAATCAAGCAAACTGACCATATCTAAACACTCTTTACATAAGATGATATAAGTAAGTAGAAGACCACACATACAACATATACAATGTATACAGTAAATTTAAACATAGATGATTAATGAAAAGATGTACAGAGATAAATGTATTGTGTGTAAACTAAAATGATAATAAATTCACATTATAGCAGAATACCAATTTTCACGTGTGTGACGCACGAGTAAAAGTATCAGTTTATTTGCAATACGAGCGAAATATTTACAGTATTCAACAAGAAAACCAAAATATTGTAAATCTATTGCATTTTATAACTAATTACAACTACGACAATGTTACTGCATAGAAGGTTAATCGCTGGCGTCATATCCTATCAGTATCAATACCTTAGTTTATGCAGCGAAGATGTATCAACACATCCTTTTATCATCCCGTCGTTTTATATGTATCTGAACAACGAATCTGTGGATTTAAATGAAGTTAATAGAAAGAGATTTCCCGATTGGTCAATACCCAAAGAGATATTTTAAACTTCGACAAATGTCACTTTTGATATCTGTCACTGTGTGAGAGCAGATTTATCGGGTTGACGGAATTCGATCTTCTTACTGACAAAAAAAGTAATAACATTCAAAAGCTACACCCTATAACTAAGAAAAGTCTCCCTAGGGAAACACACATTGTACCTTTAAAATAATCATAGAAAAACTACAATTAAAAAAAACAAATCTCATTCGACATCACGTCACCATTTGTTAATAAATCACAATGGACATGTTCTCAACTCGTTAATGTATATATCATAGTATTGTCAAAATTTCACCAACAAAAAACATATTATAACACCAATATCCGGACCTGTTCTTTCAATAAAGCAATCTACATTCATAAAAACGAGCTGCAAAGTGATGAGCACTGCTATGATTACTTATCGGAGCAAGTATTCCACTACATGTACCTCAAAGTTAAGATTGATTCGACCTTTCATACAAAATGGAAATATCTTTATCATAAAAATTATGTGCGGATGTCATATTCCAGGTATATGTAGCGCCGATGGGGCCATACATTCAAACACTGCAATACCTTTGTCTTACAAATAATGTTGGGATGTCATATTCCTGGTACATATAACGCTGATGGGTCATACATTGAAACATTGAAAACCCTTGGCCGTACAAATAATGTGGGGATGACATATTTCTGGTACATGTAGCCCGGACGAGGCCTTGCATTCAAATATGGAAATACATTGGTCATACAAATACTTTGGAAATGTTGACAACGGTAGCCTTTCAAATAACATGACATCATCATTGTTTCACATCATCAGGATAACCTCATAAAGGTAGTTTTATACAACAAGTGACTATTCTGATATATGTGTCTATTATAAAGTTCCTATAGGGAACATAACAAAATGAACAGCAACAGTTACTCTACGTTCTTATAGAATATGTATAAGCCATGCAAGATCATTGTGTATTTTTTACAAGTAAACAATGCATATTCGGTATAGCCCCATGGTCATGGTCACACTCGTTGCCGTATTCGGGGATATGCATGTTGGTAGGATTGTTGTTTTGATAATTTCCAAGCAAGTACCACAGCATTGGTGTTATTTGCTTATTTTTTATAATTTACATGCTTCCAAACAGAATCTCTGACAAAAAATGTTCAGTGGAATTTTAGATGTCATCAAACAACAATTGGAGGGGATGGGAAAGTTTGGTGGGGTAAGGTGGCGGATGAGAGAAGCATCGTTCTTGCAGGACATTTCGAGTAACATCCGCTATTGAGCAGTCATTCCTAATATCTGCACTATTTCTGTGCATAAATATTAAAAAAATATCAACTGTTTACAAATTAAAATGTGCTGTAGTCGACGTTAATCAAGCTTGGATTGTATCCAATGTATGTGCTATCATTATGCTATTGTGTCTACGTAGAACTCCGCAGAGCCTCTAATCTCTCTATAGCAGGGTTATTATGAGGCATTACATGTAGAGAGTCTGTAAATGACCTGATGGCCCTACGATTGTCCCCCACAGTTTGGTAACAGATCCCTAACATTGTGTGTACTAGCCAGTAGTTGTGTCCCCCTTGTACGGGGTCGTAGTTCACAGCCCGAAGGTTGATGAGTTCTTTGTCACGTCTCCTTATGTCACCAAGGTCGTGGTAACACAGGAAGGAAAGGAAGCGTGCATACGCCAGTGGTGGAATAAATACACCGAAAGTATGTTTGGTAACTTCAGGAAGTAGATGAGGTACGCATAGTGTAGTACATAGTATAGAAAACACCACACACGAATAAACCCCTTCTTTAAACTTCTGGTGTAACGGGTATCCCTGTCCACAGTACAACCTTTGGTATTGTTCTCTCGATTTTTCAGTTTCTGGTATGGATTCGCTAACGATTAGCTTAGATGTCGACGTCATTTCTGCACACATTCTTATTGTGTTCTTGTAATCTCCTGTGAGGTAGTGAAACAATGCTAAAAGCATCAATCCCGGACTGGTACATACCGACGCTTGCCGTGCCAGTAATTGCTTACATTTCTTGAGAGCTAAATACTTCTGTTTGTTGCTTCTAGTAGTGGTATACATGTTAAACAAAGTACATGCTATTCCGCGAAGTGTATTAGTCATTTCAAAGTAAGCAATGAACTCATCCACATCCGTTTGAGCCTCATGAAGTCGTTTCATTGAAGGGTCCAGCTCTTTCTCGTTAAAGGTCATCGGTAAAATAAACATTCTTGAAAAATGTCTAAGTCCCTCAGACATTCCAAATGTTGTATTGATTTCAGACTTTGATGTTGTTGGAGCATATGTCCGATGTATGGAAAAGTGACCGATTCTATTGATAAACCCATCCAGTTTAGGTAATAGAGATCAATAAGAAAATGAAGCAGTTTTTGACGGTTTTCCCCATGAACCTTCCTCAAAAACATGTTGTTTCTTCTGATGAAATAGTTTGGACAATAACTCGATTGGACCCAAGCAATCAAAATAGACAGGCAGAACCGAAAACATATAAATGTGTTTTGATCATCCCATAGCAAATGTGGGGAATTTTCAACGGCATAAAAGATAACCGTTTTTAGGAAATATGAACATAGGATATCACTATCCCCAATAATATGGTCCAGCAACTCTTTGATCTGGGAAAGGAAATACTTCAGTAATCCGTATACCCTGAACTGCGGATGAGTGAGAGAATGAACTAATAGTTGTTCTGCACAGGCAAATGAAATCCTCCATTGTAGTAGCGTGTCTGTTGAACACTTATCACCAACAGGTACGAGATGACAGCCACCTTGAACAATCCTGTCAATTATTATCTGAGATGGCCATCCATGAAGGCGACTTCGGTATTTCCATTCATTAGTTACCCGAGGCCAACATACACACGGAAATGCGCATGCTGTATCAATGCTCCCTCCCTCTTTCATGAATACAGATGCGCACGGTCCATTGGAAACAAAATCCAAACCCTTTGCCCTTTTCATAGCTTCTACAGTCTGTTGTCTATAAATATCACTAGAGACAAAATACAAATCACCAACAGGAACAACCGCGTTTTGAAATGGAACAACTCTCCCCATTTCATCTCCAATTTGAAATATTTCAAGGTTAGCATACCCAGGTCTGCAACCAGCTTCCCTCATTAACAGTATTGTCTTGTTTTCACTGTTACGAGGTATAAGATGCATTTGATCTGGATAACTAACCACTACAGCTTTAAAAGAAAACATCTTGTCGCTATCTGATTTCTCCATGCGTAACCCGTCCCCAATGCTTCCACCATAGAACCAATTCAAGAAAAGGTCATTTGCATTGTGTATGTTTTGGCTGATGGCTGTTACCTTTCTCCTGTTCTTCACTCTTTCCTCTGTACCGTGGCTGTCATCAAGACACTGGACCAGACGCTGGGAACTGCTGTCTTGATCTATGTGGAATCGTGAGTCTCGGAGGATCTGTAAAAAAAACATTATGATTTAAGTTATGGTATTTAAAAGATCATTGTTCAAATTCATTCTTATAGTTTGGTTTGTGTTTGTTTTACGTCCTTTTAACAGCTATGGACATTTAAGGAGATGTCAGGTTTTGGTGGTGGAGGAAAGACGGAGTTCCCGGAGAAAAAACCCACCGACCTACGGTGAGTACCAGGCAACTGCCCCACGTAGGCCTCGAACCCGCGACCCAGTGGTGGAGGGCTAGTGGTAGCAGAATGTCAGACGCGTTAACCACTTGGCCACCGTGCCCCCCATTCGTATAGACACATTGTGGAGTGGATACCTGGATATAATCAAGCGACAGTCATATCAGCGAAATATAATTATTTCATCAAAATATACTAACGTTGACAATCCACAAGAAACAAATCGGAAAGTATCAAAATCTTACAATGAACTGCATCGTCAATACACCAGCGCGAGATCCGCAATCGACGTCAATACAACAAAATACCATATAATCAATACACTAGGATAAAATCTGAGCTCAAATCAATACTGAATGTGCCAAATCAACAATACATTAGGATACAATCTAAACTCGGAGTCGATACAACAATCACTTTTATATCATGATGTTTGGATCTACCGCAACACGTAAAACCTCAGGATTTGAGAACCAGTTTTGTTACAATGAAGAAAGGGGAAGTTCACGATAGTGAAATTAAAGTGATCCCACTAGTCTATCAGCTTAGTATTAAGCCGTCCCTATTGGTGGTGTATAACCAGGATATTACCTTATACAATTGACGCTGATTTTGAAAACTAAAACCTATCCATATCTGTTGATAGCATACTGTTTAGGAAATTAAGCAAGGCAAATGTATTCATCCCTGGCTGCTGAAATATGACGCCTTTGTGATGGTAGAGTGGTACCACTAGTGACACAGCATATACTGGAAGTTTAAAATAGTATGCATAATGTTATACACATGTACACACAATCAAATATTAAGTTCGCAGGATACGAACAGACACCAACCGTATAAAACGTACACTAGCTAACTCAGAACCCCGTTCTACATGAGTAAATATTTACAAGGTAGATATAAACGATTAAAGAGTATGAGGACCGTCCTTATAAAACACGGTATGGGTTCACGCTTTCGGATGTAACACGTTAAAACATAGTTATAATGTTAAACATATGCTTTAAGGTGTTACATGTAAATTCGATCTCATTCAAACTTTTATTACTCTCTAAACGTATATAAATATATCGTTTTAAATATTGATTTTAATTTATTTCACTAGCCATGCAGCCATACAAAATGAATCGGATAAATGAAAGCAATAACAAACTCCGACATCAAATGTACATATGTAGGAAAGAAGGGGAAAGAGAGGGAAGTTAAGAAAAGAGTAGCAATAGAAATGAAATGTAAATTTGTATGAAATTGACGTTAAAGTCATTGAAGTCTAGTATACACTGTATGATATCGTTCTACATCTTACGACGCGTTTTAAATGAATTCCATTTGATGTTCCTGGGCTATATTCATGAAACTGTTCTCGTGTTCGTGTTCCTCGCCATCAATCATGCTACATGGCAACAATGCCAGGTGTTGTCAGTGACAACGATATTCAGCATTAGTTCTCTCTGAATTTCGTCCAATTCATTGACATGATGTGTGCTCTTTATTCATTAATAATCTAGTTTGAGCACGATTTCATTTTCATAAATACGGGCCCTGATATCCGTTTAGTTTTAACAATTATTATTAGCCAGGCCGTGCTGAAATAATACATTCATTTACATGTTATGTGTTAAAGTAATAGTAATCAGTTTATCTGGTTTTTATTGTCAGCGACCATTTTACAACGGGAAAGGGCATACAATGACGATGACATTATATCCATATATAGCATATCCGAAAGCTTATATATCATATATCTTACCTGAGTTATAACACGAGGAGTAAAATTACATGGTTCATCATATTTGATGTGTTCAAAGGCCGACTTGCTGATCGCGTAGGGAGTAGAGGCAGACATACTGGTGTTGTTTTACATTTCAGCAGATGTCTAAGCTTATAAATCACCGATGCACGGTACACTTGTTAGTATTATCTCATTGACAACACTGCCATAACTGTCTTCCTGCTTGTGTGTCACATCATAGACAGACACGTCCATCTTAGCACTCCTTATATGAGTGTGTATTGGCTTATTTCGGACGGAAGAGTCCATCTTTACAGTTATCATGCATTTGTTTATCATCTCTGTAGACGGTATTGTTCATCTTTACAATCCTCCTGTAAATGTCTATAATCACTGTAGACTGAAGAGTCCATCTTTACAATCATCATGTAATTGTTATCATTCCTGCAGGCGGAAGAGTCCATCTTCTTAATCGTAATACACATGTATGTCGGAAGAGTCCATACTTACAATCCTCATGTAATTGTCTATCAACCTTACAGATAAAAGTATCCATCATCACAATCTTTATGCAATTGTCTATCATCCAACCAGACGGAAGAGTCCATCTTTACAATCCTCACGTAAGTGTGTATCTTTCCAATTCTGTACACGTACCTATATATATATCATCACTTGAGACGGAAGTGTTCTCTTAAAAATCCTCTTGTAACAGTAGTAGGGAGAGTGATGGTTCTGACGCAGTCCCCAGCTTATATCATCCTTACCTCCACCCTGCTCAACCCAAGACGCTCCACCCAAGTAATGATGACGTCAACAATATCATCCAACACTATAGCCACCCAGATAAACTGACTCATGCGATACAACAGTACACACATACACTAGCCTTAAGTTTGCAGTACAATGATCCATTGTTCGCGTATACACAGGTCTACTACTGACTAATGCGGTAAGATTTGTAAAGCTAGTGGTCCGCTAAAAAAAAATTAAACAAAGCTCTTCTGCATGGGGATATCAAATGGTATCTGTCTATTCATGTCCAGTTTTCGAAGCCAAAGGAGGATATCGTCGAGCGTGTCACACCACATTTCCGGGGAAAATGCCAGATAAGTCTCAAATCCGCAGATGTGTACCAAAACATGAAAGTGTCTATCAATAAGAGATATTCCTCCTTCCTATACAAATACACTTGAATGGTCATAATCCTCTGAATGCCTCTAAACATGTGATCGTCAATGTCCAAAACAAAGACAACAACTGTTTCATGTGGCCGGTACTGGCTGCATTACATTCGTACAAAAATAACACACAACGTGTCAGTAATTACACAAATTGCGAGACCGAGCTCGATTTCACGGGAATCTCATTCCCGGTGTCGATGTCTGACATTGCGATATTGAGACACAAAACAACATATCAATCAGTGTACTGGGGTATGACAAGGGCAACTTGTTTCTGATGCATGCGACCAAACAGCGTCACGTCGACGTACTTATGATATCCGACTGTACACAATCTCACTTCTGTTGGATAAAAAACGTGAATCGCACACACATGCTAATAGGTATTTCCATTGCATCTATTTTTTTCCATGGCTTTACAAAACAACGCGTTTTGAACGAACACGTGTCGTATTGTCGCGAGCACAGTACTCAGAGAGTCGAACTTCCGAAAGAAAATCACAAATGGTTGTTCTACAAAGACTTAAGGAAACAAATGAAATCTCCATATATTATTTATGCGGATTTCGAATCATTTCAAGGACCGATATCTGGTTGTTCGAAAGATCCGAATGGGTCATACACCGAAGAAACGGCCCAACACGTTCCCTCTAGTTTTGCATATAAAGTAGTATGTCTCACACAGGGGACCTCGAAAACATTCGTAATCTACATAGGACCAGACGTTGCAAATACATTTGTCGAATGTATGGTGCGGGAACAAGAAGAGGTAGAGCAGCACTTTAAGCATGTCCAACCATTGGTCATGACTGGCAAAAACTGGCAGTCCTTCACAAAGGCCACCAAACGCCATATTAGTAAGATCTGGGGGAGGAGAGGGTCAGATACCATTGCCACGTGACTGGGGAGTTCAGGGGGCAGGTTTAAAGAACGATGCTTACGTCACTTCGTCAGTAATCTTGATGACATCTACGTAAAATAATTTTCTAAATATTAAACATCGAAGGGGCTATTGAAACATGCATTGCTTATGGGAATAACCAAGTTGATTTGATGTACCTAAGTCGAACTAGACATCAATGTCTGCTCATCTTGGTGAGTCTGTGCATACATTACATACATCCTGTTCATTGATACACAGGGTCACGTTACAAATGTCTGAAATACACATATGCTATACTGATACGGGTCACAACACACATAAACATACACAAGGGAAGAAGCTTCGTCAGAGCACTACCGGTACCGCCAAATTTCAAATGAAGATTTTCAACACTTACTTTCGCTATTTTTTCCAGGGATCTCCGGCGATAGCTTCCGTTTGAATTGTAATTAAGTAATCCATCATGATTAATTGTGTAATCATTCGTCTAATACATCCAATCAAGCACTTTTTCGGAGAATTTGCAGTTTTACCGCCATGATTAACTTCAACCTNTCTCTGTATTATCAAAGTCATCAGAATTACCAAGTCTTTCTAGATTTATTGTTTTCCCTCTTACTTCCAATGTCCAACATTGTTTCGAAAAATTGATAATCGCTTTCTTTAAAACCTCAATGCCATTAACAATGATTTTGCTTTTGACATAAAACACTACCTCTCCATTTTTTGTTTGCTCTGTACAGAAATATTGCCCCGCTAATGCAGTTAAGTTGATGTTTCCAGGATTGATTTTTACCACAGGTCCTTGCCAATAACTTATCCCACAATGCACATGTGCTCGTGTGCCAGCTCCTCTCTCTCTTAGTCTAGATGCATAAACATTTGAGAAAACATTTGTCAAATACCGGGCAAATATCCGACTTGATAATAAGGTTGTGTCAGGCGTTGTATGCTGGAAGTCATGGAAACGCTGTAATACTTCCTCCTTAGGAACTTGACCTTGACTGTCTTCTACCAGATTATGAAATAACCTGATAAATATATATTTCAAAGTTCTACATAAAACATGGTTTAAGATAGATCATAGAAATTGATTTATGCATAATGTACATAGATGATATCAAGTATCATGGAACTTAAAATCTGACCACTTGATATTCTGACATCCTGTCTATTCTGACCACATAGTATTCAGAACTCCTTTCTAATCATCATGCTGTAATCATATTTCTAACATAAATATGAAATGAACTATGACATCCTGTCTTATTCTTCAAATTGTTGTGCCAAATTATGGTGTCAGACTATACAGTATACAAAATGTTTTGTTTTTCTTTGTTTTTTAATGATTCATTTAAATATTATTAGTATGGAAATTGAATCACATGTTTTGAAATGCAATATTAAGTTTATAAAAATGAAATATTGCAGTAGAGTGTACGGAACATAAATCAAGATAGGTTTTAATCAGATTGAATTGTTTTGTGCTTACAGGAGAGGAATTTGTGTACCATTGCACGGACGAGAGAGATGTTAGTGGCTTGAAAGTGAAGAAGGAGGTACATCTGAAGAAGTCATGTCCAGTTATGCTACTTGTCAATTTATCAGATGTGCTAGTAAATGGATTGACAGGGACTGCTTCAAAAATGGAGCCTGAATGTGTACATGTCTTCTTCCCTGGATTGAACAGGACAGAAGTCATCACCACTCATGTCTTCACCAAGTACTGCAATATACTGAAGAAGGATATTGGAAGCAGACGTCAGCTACCTCTCCAACTGAGCTATGCTATGACTGTGCACAAGTCACAAGGAATGACACTGGACAGGGTGTCTGTGGAACATACGACAGTATGGACAGCTTACAGTAGCCTTAAGTCGTGCTCAATGTAAAAAGGACTTACGGATCAAGAACTTAACTACTCGCCTCCTTCAAAAACCTCCTGAATGCATCAATGACTTCTACCAGAGACATCCGCTGGAGATAAAAGATTATCTGAAGTGTTGCATTAACTGTGCTTTGGTGATGCCAACTTTAATGGCAAGTCCTGCAGTAATGCCACTGGAAACTCTACAATCATATGGCGATGATGACGATGATGACGATGTTGATGATGCAATAGTGAAGTGTTTGGAGGGCATTGAATCTTTTTCTAAAGATGTCACATCATTATCGGATGGCATTGATGTGCAGTCCATTTTAGAAGGGTTACAGATACAATCACCAAAGACTGACCAGCAGAAGCAGGAAAATGATGCTGTGGAACTATTGCTAACCAACATAGACAGAACAAGACTGTTTGTAGCCTACCTATGTCATGCCATTGCAGAGTTATCAGACAAACACTTGACATCGACACCAAATCTCAATAATAAGGATATCCATTCCTTTTACATGGAATACAATGCCTTAATCTGCTCTGAAAGTCATCGTCTTAGAGTTACATACCTTTTTGGACAAAACACGTCACCAGCACAGGATAACATCATTTACAGAGTGTCCACGAAATTAAGAAACCGAAGTGTACATCAGAAAGCAGAGCCTATCCGTGACACTATGAGGAAGGAGGCAGAACATGTGAAAGGTACACAATTTGAAGAATCTGGAGAAGGCAGGGCAAAGATTCGATACATAGCAGGATGGTGTGTATCATCTCTCGCCAAAAGATGCAAGAGAAATATTGCCCTGTCTCTGTATAACAAGAAGAAAATTGAAGGCACTGAAATGAACATTTTACAGAAGAGACTTCTTGAAAATCTCCAGTCACACACTGAAGAGGACTGTGAGGACACTGAATCACTTCAAGAGATTTATAGAAAACAGAATGTGAGAAAGGGCCTCTTTGTGGTTAATGACAATGCTTTCAATTTCTTTCAGAATCTTGACAAAAAAATCCGAACTTTACAAAGTCCTGCACACTTTTGTTTACACCACACTAACTTTGGACATTTCCTTAAATCTTCATTAATTAATGATGCTAACTTGGCTACACAGTGGAGACTTCTATTCACAGAGGCAGAATTTGACAACATCAAAGCTCGACACAATATTAATTTGTTGCTTCATGAAATTCTTGAAAAATATGTCTTAATGTCTGTGTCACAGTTTAGAAAAGAATACTTAAATGAGAAGAATGTAAAGAAAAGGGAAGCAACAAGAAAGCAGATCAGAATGCGTACTGACAAGGTATCAACAACAAAGTTCAGCTTCAGGACAATGAAAGATGACATATCCAAAGACAAAGAAGCATCTCATAAAAGACTTCAATCAGAAATATTATGTGATGCCACATTCTTGGAAAGAACATTTTCTAAAAAGGAACTTACATATTTGTGTAAAGCATATAGTATCCAGGATAAAAAGGCTCTAAAAACAAAAAAGAGTATGCAAGAAAGCCTCAATTTGACAGTGGTAAAGGTCCAAAAATGTCCAATACCTGACTCTTTGAATAGTTTTGATGAGCCATTTATTACAGATATATCAAGTCTCAATAGTGTTGACATTCCCGCAGTCGATGTATCTAATGATGTACAAAGTGTATCGGGTGTATCAAGTGTGTCTGATGTACAACAAAGTGATGAAAGACCATGTGGTTCAGATGTTTTAGATGATTCTTCCTTTAAATGTTCAAAACCAAAGCAGAAAAGGAATCAACAGTGTATCAGAAAAGGGAAATCTACCAACAAACGCAGGAAAGTGATATGGCCTTGTGGAATTTGTGGAAAGGATGCAAGTTTTGATTCAATTGGTTGTGATGGATGTGACAAGTGGTACCATTCAAATTGCTTGAAACTTGAAAACTTGGAAGAGTTGCCTGAGGTATGGTTCTGTCAGGAATGCTTGAATGAATAAGAGTAGTTTTACCATATGTTCACATGTACACCAGAATTGTCAACANAAAGGCATATATATATATATATTGAAAATAACACTAGATTCCCAGCAAACAAAATTTAAAATAAAATATCTAGAAGTCTCGATCATACCGATTTTCTATCTATATCAAAAGCATATAGCTAGATCATAATTATGCAATAGTCCAATAATTTTGATACAGTAACTCTTAAGCGTAAAATGTGAAATACATACCAGGACACTAATGCCAGACATGATGTTTTAAACATTGCGCCAAAAATATTTGCTGCGGGACTAGGCTCTACTCGGAGGTCCTTGGGACTTTCCATTGTATTTGGCAGTATGGTATAAAGACCTGTCGAAAAGCCCTCGT